TGAAAACAATACAGATAAGGTAGGATATGCTGAAATCAAGAACAACAGTTTCTCTTAGAATTCTTGGAACTCTTGAAGTTTCATAATAATGAAAGAAGACAAAGCAAGCAATAAGTAAATTGAGAATAAGAAAAAAGTGAAGGTGGTTGTAAACAGATGAAAATAAATGATTGTTACAATTGTTGAACTAAAGCTAAGTAAGTCTATGTTTTAAAAGTTTGTTTAGTAAATATAAATTGTTCTGTGAATTGGAATGAGATAGAAATAAATCAAGCTTACACGTAACAATTAAGGAAGGTTTTATGTTGTCTCGTTAGAGATTGCATGAATCTTATCTGAAGCTAGTATACTATGAGAATAATTGAATAATTTAACCATTTGAAATATTCCTTTATAACCAATTTTATCAAATGGTCGGTATTGAACAATACTGACCATTTGAAAAACATTATACGAGTGATTACTTATTTGTAGAATTCATTCCCCTGACTTTTAATGCTTTTTTCAATGGAGTAATTTATTATAATTTGCATGAATTGTCATATACACAATACACAGGCAATAGCTAACTTTTGCCAAATATCCTAGTTAAGCAGTAAGTGATCCGGATAATATTCCGTCAGAGATGGTTGGCATGGAATTGCTGGCTATTGCTGTCTCTTTTAACTCGTCTAACTAGTGCCAAGTCGGGATTAAAAGAAAGAAGTTTAGTAAAATGAAGGGCATTTTGCTGTGAAATGATGCAAAGTTAGAAAAAAAAAGTAGCAGCTGTGTGGAAGGAGAAAAATAACGCCAGAGGAGGAGTTGTGTGCACTTCGAAAAGTAATCCATGCATAAATGATGATTATCTGTTTATACTTTGTTAGATTTACAAGTAAAAACAGTAGCTACAGAAACCATTTTTTATTGGTTTTGACATCTACAAAATGGTGAATATTTACATGCAAATACATGAATATAATGTATTTGTTAAAGAAGCTTCTTGAACATAAATCCAATTCAAACTGTCTTTTTGGGAGCAATGCATGCAAAAGTTGAGTTTTCTGAAACAGTTTTTGTGAGTAAAGCAGCTTTAATGTGGTTTTTTTTTTTTATGTGAATACATTTTGTTGATATGGATCTATCCATTATGATACGGCAAAACTTAAAATAAGCTAAGTTTCTGATATAGTTCTGTTTAAAAGTAAATTTTGTTAACTTGGATTTTCTATGATATAGTGTGTTTAAAAACTAATGTTTCAATAAAAATTCAAACTAATTTTAGCTTTCATACTTTTGCACTTCATACATTTTTATTTGTTTTGTCTTATACAAATTATCAATTGTTAAACTAGCTGGAACACACCCTCCTTCCAAGAAATGTATATTTAGTAGCAATTTGAAAGGATGGAATGTTTCAGCTGGTTTACAATTGATAATTTATGTAAATTAAGTCAAAGTAAATAAAAATATACGAACCGTGATCCAAAAAATTCAGATAGTTTTACACCGTTAATGATGTGCGACTCGTGAACCTTATCTAAGTTAGCGATGTGTTAAATCAAACAATTATCCACCCATTATGAAGGGAAAACCTTAACAAAATTTGGATTTTGTGGTTAGTCTTCCTTTTCGAAATCAAAACGATATAATTATTGACTAACGAGAATACAATAAGAGTTTTTGTGGTTGCTTGCTATTACTGAAGAAAGGAAATGTTACTTTTTTAGTTATAGTTGAAGCTTGAATTTTTGTTTTCGGACTATTGGAAACATCTCTAAATAAAATAATTATGGAAACGTTTTTAAATCAAGACTACCATGAGGTTTTTTCTGTAGACAGACATATGGTTAATAGACGTTTCCACATGAATGGTGAGCAAACAAGCATTAAAAACAGATGTAACTTGAATGAGTGTGGGAAAATATTATTTTAATAGGTACTAATGGGATGGTAATTAGTATTTCCTATGTTAGCACAGGAAATTTTGTTAATTATATTTATCATTTGAATTTCCTTTTTGTTTAGTTAATCAATATTTGATATTATAATTAAAAATTACTCACCTTTTAGGTACTGTAATGTATTGTCATATTGGTATAATTTATTGAATAGTTAAGGTGAATAAGCTGAGTTTAATGTATTAAATATTTACATGTTAAATCAGAACTAGCTATGTATAACTAGTGTTATTTATATCATGGTCTGATTGTTATTGTATGATTTACTGAGGGTGTATTTGCAAATATTACTCAACTTCAAAATTAATGTCTTTAAGAACTCTTCTGTGAATTGTTTTGATCTGTTCAATGTGCGCTCCTTGCTGTTTGGCAATAAGCCTACACTATCATTTCCACAAACCAAACAATTGTTTACATTTTTTGGGATTACATATTACCATTTGTCTTTAAGTACTTTCCAAAGCCCACTCAGAATTGTAGCATGTCGGTGGAAAAGTTGTTTAAAGAATCCAAAACCAAAGAAGTCTAAAGGGCTGATGTCTGGTGATTTAGTAGGAATATCCTGATCCTGATATTTTATATAATTGAGACCTATAAAAGCTTTTAAGATGTTTGAGATACTCTTCAGTTTTCTTTGCTGTGTGAGAAGTGTCTTTGTCATGATGGAACACAACTTTGTCCATCTATGAGGAACATTCCTTTCTAAATATGGCTTCAGTACATTGCTGATATATTAGTTGGAATTCATCTTAACTTTATTTGGGACTTTTATAAGAAGTATTCCTCTTCTGGTCATTCCACCAACAATCATGAAACTTTCTGGTCAGCTTTCATAGCACTTTGTCCACTAAGTTTTGGGAACATTTTGACCAGGAAGATAGTAACAGATCTTGCGAAATCCATTACAGTAGCTTAAGCATAATATGCTACTGTAATATTATGCTACATCCAATGTCACCATAAATTTTGATCTACCTGCTGCCAGATGTCGCTTGTACAGTTTGCAAGTATTTATCTTGCGATTTTGTTTTTGTTCTGCAGAAAGGCAATATACTTTGGTCTTCTGTACTTTTGTCACTTTCAAATCCTTATGAATTATGTTTTGTACAATACAGTCCTCTGGAAATTTCCAGTTTGCTTGGCAATGTCTCTGATACTTGGAAGGTTTACTGTGTAGACAGTAGTTTGTGGACCTTCTAAATATTACTCTTACTGTGGACGAGTTTTAAATGACCCCCCCATTTTTCACATTCCATCCTTTTTCATATGAGAACTAATAATAATGTTTATCATCTTCTGACTTACAGCAATGGAATTGATTTTAGTGATTTCACGATCTCTCTGAAAGTCAACAAGCACTTTTATGCAGACATCAATTTCCTGAATTTTATGCGGTGCCATCTTTTTTCAAATTTTTTTTATGCAAATAATTTTACAACATTGAAAAGAATTATAGATAACTACAAAAAAGTCTTGCAAATATCTTTTAATTGATGTTGCCAATTAAAAGATATAACACAGTAAAGTTGAGTAATATTTGAGTATACACCCTCAATAGTTAAGACTAGTAGATGATGATTGTTTGTTAATAACAAATGTTTCATGTGGATGTGTGTATAAAACAAAATATTCTGAAGTTAACAGCTTAATGTAAAATATAATTGGAAATTGTTTTATGCTGTTATATCTTTATATAAAGTGCATATTTATAATCAATAGATTCCAGCTTTTATGACATTAAGTTGTTCCTAAAAAGTAGTTTTCAAATGTGGTGTCACATTTTCCCCATAAGCTCAGTGTCATAAATGAAAGATGTTACTGGAAATAGTTTCACACAGTATATTTTATAAATCTTTGCAAGGTCTAGTGTGGCGCACAGTAGCAAGGTGAGTGTGTTAAATATGGAGTGCTTAGGTTATATGAATTTAACAGGATTTGAAATATATCTCAGGTTGCTGGCTGTACACTATTATTGAAATATTCCAGCGTTTCATTCACTTAATATACAGCTAGCCAAGATTCATGAAATTATCTGGACTTGACGGTGATGGCCAACAAAACGGCACAGAATTTAACTATATTTCTTATAATTAAATTAGAAGAATTTATACCAAACAAATTTGGGTTCAAAAAATTTTCTGGTATAACTTCAACAGTTTACAACTGCTTAGTTGTTCCTGTAAAGTGAAGGGTCTGTTGTTATATGTATGCACATTAGATTCTTTATACAATATATATGCATGCATATACATTAGACCCCACTTTACAACCTTACGTATTTCACAATTGATATACAAGAAGTTATAGTACACGATTCAGTAATATAAAGTAAATTAACAAAATATAATGCTATACGGTACATACACATATACATATGATGATGATAAAATCAATAAATTTAATGAAATTTCCTTATCTGTAAATTAATTTTTTTCTGTATAGTTTGTAACAATGTCTATATAACAGCATAGAAAGAAATGAGCATAGAGCTTCCAGGAAGTACTGTGCCATTTCTTTGTCATGTATGTATGTATTATATGTGTAATTTTTTTAAAACATAGTCTGGAATCTTTGCATTTTTTTCAATTACTTTTCTAGCTGTTGCAGAACATAAGGGAAAATATGGTAATTGGCCAAATTTTGACTCCTAGTTTCTTGCATTTCTCAATGTTTTGACACTCCACACATGTAAAATGTAAAATATCCTTACAGATTGCATGATTATGCTGGAATCTATTTTGAATTATATCTCAGGAATGGATGAATGAAAAATTTTGAAATTGCAATTTATTTCTATATATATATGGGAGCATTGTAGCTTCTAGATATTTTTAAAATTAAGAGCTTTAATTATTAAATTACTTATAAAACTGTGCTTTTGCTTTCCTCTCGTCTAAATTACTCATAGTTTTAATGTAGCATAGTTAAACATTGATTTATGTACTGGTAAACTGATTTTTCAACAATTTAAAGTATTTTAGTTTAGTTTAAATTCACTTTTACAGAAATTAGTAAAAAATATTTTATCGCATATTTTATTGTGGTAAAAATTTTGTTTAGGTTAAACGTCGTCTGGACCTAGAAGCCGTGGGCTCGGTGAGCAACGACGAAGGTTTTAGAACTCCAAAAGCAAAGAGAGGAAGGCCACCCTCTTATAATATAAGTCCAAAAAGTAAGTCTTTACAACCAAATTTTTTAAACCGTCGAATCAGCCTTCTTTAAGACAAGCATTCTGTTATTAACGTCTTCCAGCCGAAATATTTTATTTACCAAAGAAATAGATATATTCCAGTCTGTTAACTGTTTGATCCTGCCTAATCAGCCAAAAACAATTTGATAAATAAAATATTTGCTGGAAGAGATTAGAACTGTTAAAGTTTAATCAAAACGTTAGTTTACAAGACTTATATTATCTTCAAGATAAAATTAATCCCAATAGATTTTCATTTTGAATGAATGGTGTTAGCTAATCCCAATGACTGGACCCATTTTAACACTATTTCTACAATGGAGTTAACTTTGAGTGGGCTAATAACATGATGATATGGTGTTTGCCCTCTGCTGGAAGTAATAACTGGAAGAATGGTATTATGTTAACATAAATTAAGTTGCATTTGGTATGAGCATTATCTTTGACTTTTTTCTATTCTTATTAATCTTGGTTAAATTTTACCCTGATTAATTTTTGTCATGTCAACTTTAATTATATATTAATATTATACCTTTTTAATTATTACAATAAAACAAAAAGCTAGTTCATTGATAATTACTTGATAATGCACTTGCTCACAATGCTCTGGTTGATGAATTTTTGGCCAAAAATTCAACAAATATGGTTCTGCAAGCTCTGTATTCACCCAATGTGGCATTGTGTGATTTTTTTCTGTTTCTTTGACTAAAATTTCTGCTTGATGGCCACCGGTTTGAGTTGATTGATGCCATAAAATAACTCGCAGCCAGTCCTGAAGAGTTTCACAAAAACTACTTTAAACCATGCTTTGAGGATTGGAAAAAACTATGGCATAATTGTATTGCTGTGGGAGGGGATGAAATAAATTATGATGAATAAATTCAAATATAACATTTTATTGAAGCATTCCCAATACTTTTTGATCATGGGTATTCTGACAGTAGTTATGTTCATTAAATACTTTCTTAATTAGTTTAGTATTTACATTTGTTTGAGAGGTGCCTTTGCAAATATGTCAACATGGCCTAATGTACTATAGGTACAAAGGTAGAGGAGGATTGGATAGATAAGTTGCCATCTAGAGTTAAGCATTTTGCCAATAAAAAGTTGATGAGCAGCCTAGCTACGAGTAGCATTGTCATGGATTCACCAGATGTCCATAAATTATTTGTATTTGCCAAGACACACAAGCAAGGGCAACAGCTCTGTCCGGTGGTCGACAAAGCTAGAGCACCTACACATAGATTGGAGAAAGCCTTGCATACCCTGCTTACTAAATACCTGGATGGATATCCATTTACCATCTCCAGTGCAGTAGAACTATTAGAGCAATCAAAGGGATCACCTCCCCCAAGTACATTACAGTGTTGGACTTTTGGTCCGTATACCCCTCCATTGAGCTACTTCCTTGTTTCTGTGCTTTCAGAGACTTCCTGTTTACAAGAGTGGATGATAGAGCAATGCACCAACATGTACTGGAGTTGGTCCACTTGGTATGTTATCGTTCTATATTTTGGTTTAACGGGGTTGTATACATGCAAAGTAAAGGGATTCCCATGGGCGATCTGATTTCTGGTGACCTCTGTGAATTAGTTGTCAGACAATTGGAAAGCAGGACTCTCCCCAACTTTCTCCACATCATCATCCTGTACAAGAGATATATTGATGACATCATCATTTTCTGGAGGACAACACCAAATTTGATGCAGTTTGTTTACCCAGTGAATGAAAATTCATACAGGCTGTTCCTTGAGGTCTGTCCAGCTCCACTTAGATGTTAGGGTTGAGGGGTCGAACATATACACATCTGTTTATTGTAAACCATGTGCATTCTCCACATATATCCCAATTGGATCATGTGATCCGTGTCTGTACAAGATTGCAGCATTTGGAGCCTTAGTTAGAAGAGCATTCACACATTCTTCTACTCCACAAGCACTGGCAAAGGAATTAGGGCTTATAGAACAGATAGTCAGGGCACATGATTACACTTATACAAAAAGAATGTGTGAATGGCACAGACAGGACACATCATTTCGACAGAAATGACGAGAGATAAGCAGGAAGAGTATATGGAGAGGATCCCTCTCACTTTTAATCTGCATTTAAAATCATCATACATCACAATTGCCAAAAAACTACACATCGGTATTATGTACAGGATATGCCCCTCCATATTCAGCCTACTATGTAACAGAAAAGACCACATAATCCTGACAGACTACTGGGCATTTATAGCATCCCTATTAGAGACAACAGATGGGATAGAGAAATGTACATTTGGTCTACTAAATATTCAGTGGGGTCAGGATATGTGAACATAAATCAGATATAAAGCTTAGTGGGAGTATTAAGTACTTAGCTTGGATGTCATGCCAACAGTTAACTCAATCAAAAACTTCAGACTATGAGGCGTTAAATAGAATTAAAAGATTTCTTTTAATTCTATTTAACGCCTTATAGTGGGAGTACCATTGCACTCTCCACATATGCAACAGACCTTGATATTATGACATATTTTCCCAGAGCCCAAATCATCCTTACTACCCTACACGCAGAACATCTCAAGTGGTAAGGATATTCTGAAAGGAGTCTTTACAAGGGTCAGTTTGGCAGGCTGATTTATGTTCGGTAGATTGAATTACCTGCCAAAGGATTGTATCGAGAATTGATTTATATGTTCAATTTACAATTCAATGATTGTTTGATTTGAATCGGTCCACATAAATACAGTTTAACAGCACCAATAGTCGGCTTTTTAATAGCGTTTAACATCATGGTTTTTACATGCACCGATAGGTTTTGTAAAAAATTTTAAATTTAAATGAAGACACATTTTTATGAAATAAAATCTATCCATTCTAGAACCAAGTTTTTATATATACATACGATTATTACTAAAGAAAAATTGTAATAATATATTTTGATTTTATTTTTTAGTAAAATCTCCAATAGAGAAAACACGGTACGACACCTCGCTTGGATTATTGACCAAAAGATTTGTCGAACTGCTTACCGGAGCTCCCGACGGTGTAAGTTTTTCAAAATATTTTTAAATATATCGTGAATTGAATGGTAACAGTACGAAGATAAACAATTACAATATTATAAAGGTTAGTTACAGAAGTATTTGATTAGATTCCACATATTTGTACTATTATAAAATTAGAGTAATATAATGCATGCAATTTTATAGAAATGTAGTGAAATATTTTAACTATTACAGGTTGTAGATCTGAATAAAGCATCGGTGTTGTTGTGCGTGCAGAAACGGAGGATCTACGACATAACAAATGTTCTGGAAGGAATCGGCCTTATTGAGAAAAAATCGAAGAACAACATCCAGTGGAAGTAAGTAAAATAGTTGGTTTTAGTCGATTCATTTTAATTCATAAATTTCCTTAAGAGTGTCTTGTATTACAGAGGAACACTACCACTTTGTATTAAAATAATTTAAAATTTATTGGAGAAATGTTTCTCATTGCTTTATTTCTTATATAATGCTACAACTGTACTCCCCATGGGATAAAGAACAATTTGTTCCAAACTGTTTTTAGGTAGCAGACTAGCATGGCAGAACTGATTATCCAAAGCGGTTAACTTTTACTTTAGTGTGTGTATTATTTATCGTTTAATTTAATTTGTATGGATTTTGTTGTTTTTAATTGTAAAATTTAGATACACTTAACCAAAAATTGTTACTTCTTTGCTGCAAAGAGGCCAAAGACAACATGCCAGTCAGTCTTATGGCTTCAACAAATTCTTTGTTTTGGGTCTGATTATCTTCACTAATGTTTGACTATATGTTTGACAACTTACTTTGATTTCAATTAGTTTTAGAAAACAAGAAGTGCCTATTGAAGGTGGTAATATGTTGTTTGTGCTATCAGTCACCTTCTTGAAACACATATTACTGCTTGCACTGTGAATGACAATTACTGTTGACAATTGTTGAATTGTATCAATGTACCATGTACAGTACAATAACAAATAGAATATTGTTTATGACAAATGCTATGCGGAAAATTTAATTATAATTAGCGTCACCTTTCAGTACTATATTTTACTGTGTACTCGTACCCTGTCTTGATATCTACCCACCTGCTTTGTTTTTTATCATAGGAGTAAGAGTATAATAAAAAAACAGATGTATAAATTTGTAAAATAATTTCATATATCAAGGATGGGCCATGTCTTGTCATATAGTTTTAATATGTTGATTTCTTTTGATAATTAATTAATTGATAATTGTAAAATATGTGGGGCATTCAAGTCAAACTGGGACTTTTAGTTTTACAGGTACAAGAAGGGATGCTAATATGGCTGTACTTGTAGTGGTAAGTGGAAAGTGTGCCCTATTATCTGAAGGCAGCATGCCCATTGCAGACCAGTCACATGACAGTTATTCAAATGGTGTACAGCAGTGTTGGTGCTCTCATGGATCAGTGAGTTGAAAAGTTTCTTGTGAAGGAAGGTGTAAAACCCATGGATATTTAACGAAGACTTCATGCACAGTATTGAATGAGACACTTAGCTACAGTAAGACATTTGAATGGTGTAAATGTTTTAAAGATGGTCCATGAATGATGATCCCAGCCATGGTGGTTCCAAGCTCGCAGCAGTCATTCTTGTGAACATCCAGTGGTATGGAAGGCTTGGTCCTAGATAATTGACTCATAACCTGTCATGAAATTACACAAGAGAAATCTTTCTTTGGGTATGAACACAATCATTCTCCATGACAATGCATGAACTCATTCATAATGTTCACCATACTGCATGCATATTGTAGCAGCTTGGCTGGGAAAGCATTGTCACATCTCTCTTGCAAACTGGATCTCGCACTGAGTGATTTTTACCTGTTTGGACCTCTAAGAGTTCCTGGGAGGTCAGGATTTCAGCACTGATGATGAAATGAAGCAGGCTGTTTTAGAATAGTTCAGATGAACTGACAAATCTTTTATACTGAAGCTTTCCAAGCAATAGTTAAATGCTGGGGTAAGTGTATAAATTTAGCAGACGAGTGTATCAAAAAATAAATGCAGTTCACTCCTTTATTTATTCTTTTATTCTGTACACACTAAAGTCTTGGTTTGACTTGAACTCCCCTCAAATATGTGATTTTGTTTTGAAAATCAACTAGAGGTTTAGTTACATTCCTCTTAAGACAAATAACATAACTGATAATCCATAACATAATTTAGATTAGATAATTATTGGTAAAATTATCTAAAGAAGTTGTTTTTTTGTTAGAGGCGGGACTCTAAATTCTGAATTGGCAGCAAAGTATGAGAATGTAGAAAAGGAGATAACGTTGTTAGACAGTAAAGAAAATCAGCTGGATGAACTCATTCACAATGCAACCTTACAACTGAAAATGATGACGGAAACTGAAGACAAGAAATATCCTTTGTTGATATTTATATATTTTTTTATTGTGATTCCAAAGCAGTTATATTTGAAGATATGTTTTGGCTCTTTAATATATATCAAATTGATAATATGTACGACACACCATTACATGTATACATAAGTATCTAACAGTTATACAATGATACTTTTCTATTATTAGTATATAATTAGCAAGCTATATCATGCTTCTTTTCATGGTTTTTCTGTTGTGATGGATTGGAGTGAGGTTGAGTATCTGAAGGTAAACAAATTGCTAAATTTGAACAGCTGCTGTGCTTATCTCATCAAGAACATTTTGGATGAATTTGTATTATTGTGGCATCAGATAAGACATTACTGAAAAGACAAAAACCAAGAGCGGAATACTTTCTTGAAATTAGAAGCTATAATAGAGGCTAAAGACTATACCAGTAATATAGTTTCATCTGCGTAGTGAGATATGGTGTGTACAGCAAGTGAACAAAGATAATTGACTCAAATTGAAAGATACTTTGAGATAAAAACTAGTATGATTTCTTCACATAGTTTAGGTTATTGGCTAATTTCATTGTAATTTCTTTAATGATGTATACGTATGCATATATTACGTACCGTGACCTTCAAGGCATCAAGTCCTTTTCCGACCAGACGGTCATTGCCATCAAAGCACCTCCGGAAACCAGATTAGAAGTACCTGATCCTAGAGAGGTAAGCATCTGGCTCATTTGTGTTTTCTGTTGTTATTTAAATTCCAGACATTTCATTAAAGTGTGTTGATCATTTCCAGTCTCTCCAAATTTGGTTAAAGAGTGAAAAGGGCGAGATAGAAGTCTATCTTTGTCCCGACGACGACGATAGCTCTTCTTTAAAAGAAGAGAAACAAGAAAAATCGATAAAAATCGAGAGCAGTAGCAATGAGAATTTAAAAGGTTAGTTGGTAGCCAATAAAGCGTTGTTTTTTCAGTTTTCTTCAAAGAATTTTGTTGTTGATGAAATTTGCACGCAGAGGAGCGTACGGTTGCCAAGAGTATTAAACTTACTTCAGGTTAAACTTTACGAATCATCATTGAAGGGCAGATTAGTTATTAAGTTATACTATTTTGTAATAAAATTTCCATGCATGCAAAAAGTTTTAGTATGCTTAGAAATGCATGTTGTTATGTAGAACTGTGAACTATAGGCAATGGCATAGATTCATTTATAAAGCTAAATAAAGTTCGTTACAACAAGATAAACTTAAAAATTAGTATTATACAATTTGAATTTTTCTATTTTAAAAATCTAGCAGACCCCTCTTTAAAGTACGCTTTAATATCCGAAGACGACGATTTAGCTCCGATGGGAAAGAATTTCCTACTACAAACAGAGGACCAACATAGCGATTCACTGCCATTTGTACATTTAGAGCCACCGTTATCGGAAGAAGATTACACATTCACTCTGGACGAAGGAGAAGGGATAGCAGATCTGTTTGACACCTGTGATTTTTCTATGTAAGATAGTAATTATAATCGAATCCCCTGGTAATGTTATATCGATGGGCCAACACAAATGTGTTGGCCCATCGATTTATTGCCCTGTTTGATTTTTCCCCTTTTTTTAAAGCCCGATATTGTTGTGTGGCATTACGAAAAAGGACATTTTCTCGAAGATAATTTGTCGGCAGAAATAGCAAAAAAATACCGAAACGATTTGTTTTTCTTGCACCAAACATTGAATGAGCACGATCAAAACAGAAAAAAGTATTCAAATTTCTCATTGTTTCTTAACATTTGCTGATTTATTCTTATTCGTTTTAATGAAACTTTTTTATGTATTAGCGACAGGAAAAGTTAGTTTTAACACTTAGCAGGTTATTGATTTGATAGTGTTGTGTTTTGATGGTTATTTCAAATTTTTACTTGTATATGAATGTTTTTTTTTTTTTGTAATTTTTGAATTTTTAGTCTAGTGCAACTTACATTGTAATCGAAAGAGACAAAGAAGGATTTGCCTGTATGAGGTTTGGCTTTTGTTAAATTAAATTCACAGGAGCCACCGTGCGCTTGCAAGTACTTGCAGCACTCGAACTTAACGAGAGGACCTTAAAATGCAATGCGAGAGAATTTCTTTTAATCACCTCGAGCGCCTTTTTTGTATATATCCGTATAAAGTCCGTTCTTGTTGAAATTTGTTTCTTTGATATTTGACACACTACTGTTGTTTGTTCTCAAAGAAAAAAAAAAAGAATTGTAAGATAATTAGCATTAAATATTCATGCAAGCGGACGAACAAACAGAGACGTGTGCCTTAATTTGTACGCTTCCTTTAATTAATTCTTATGTACTTGTTTTGCATGTCGGAGTTAAAATAATGTACATAAATGTAAAAATATCGATCATATATTTTTAAGCGAAAAGAAAAAAAACCAAGTTATCGAGTGGGATATTTTACTTGGGATGTCGGTTATTCTTATCTTTATCATTTTATCTAATCGTAATTATTATTGCGACGGAATTGAGGAAAGCGTAAGAAACCATCGAGTACAAAGACAAGTTTTATAATTGTTTACCACGAATCCGAACGTCTGCATTTTGAAATTTTAGCGGCACTCCAATTTATTGTACAGTATTAAAATATAGAGAACGAATTTTTATATAGATTTGCGTACCGTTGTCATAAATTCCGTTAACGTCTGCATCCCGTTGCAGAAATTTAGTTCAAACGAAACAGACTCCTGCGGAGGTCCGATTTGTTCCGAAGCCTCGACCAATAAATTCGGGGACTTAAAACAAATGTATATTACTTAAATCAGTTTTGTAATTTTTTTTTTCAAATAGAATTTTATGATAAATGTTTTAAAAATAGTCATTGTATTTCTTATGTAATTAAAAGAAAATTTTATTTACCCCTTTTTTTTGTAACAATTAATTGTTGAATTACAAACATCGTGATTATCATTAAGACTAGTCTGTAATTAGTCAACAACTCAGTTTGTGTGTATTAAAGAATACTAATAGATAGATTTTATACACACACAAAACTGATTGATTTCTTTGCCAATTCCTCTCAAGAAAAAATAATTAAACTTGGCATAATTGTACAGAATTGTGTATAAAAGTATCAAGTAAGGTCTAAAATATGAATTTGGTTTCTAAATAAGTGGCCACGAGACAATGGGACTAGAAGCTTATTTCTGTAGATGTTAGCAAAAAAAATACCTGTTTATCAATCAAAATTTTCTTAAAATTCTCATATACTATTGGAAATTCTGTATATACTAGTGTTCAAAAAACCAGGGCTGTGGAGTCACGTAAAAATCTACAGACTCAGACTCTGTTTCATATACATAACAAGTTGGTAAGTAAAAGGGAGTCGGAGTCGGCGGATTTTTTGACGACTCCAACTCCGGCTAAAACATCAAAACTCCACGACTCCGACTCCACAGACCTACAAAAAACACTAAGCAATAGATATTGACCTGGAAACTTTAGATAAATTTTACATCAAGTAATTTGTTGGAACATTGTCTAGTAATAGTCTTATTGGGGTGCAATTATCAAATTGCAAATTTATACATTCCCACTATCATCAGTGTCTGTCTTTAATCCTATTTTTGAGATTAACAAAATTCAAACTTTCCATATCTGGTCTGAGTGAATGTCCCAATTTAACTATATACAAACGAAATTATGTGACTTCAAAAGTTTTGAATTGTAAGGATCAATTCTACACCAAATTCAATCAACCGAGATCAATAATATATGACACAACCCTCTACGGCAGTTTCCCAAACACTCAAAATTCTAAAAGTAAATATTTAATAAGTTCTTTTAAAATTTGGAAAAATTAATATGCATTAACTGCAATACACAAATTTCATTCAATTCCAAAACTATTATGAATTGTCAACAAATTGTATCAAAGACAGTTATTGGCAGTTGTTTTCATGTTTACTCTTCATCCTATACAATTCTTTATTCACTGATTTAATTTATTATTATTAGACTCCTAAAAAGACTCGTTAGTGTCTTTAATCGTACCTATTGCGGATTAAGTCGGGGCCACACTCGGAAGTGACCCGATATTTCTGGGACATCCAGTCCACAAAATATTTCCGAGGTTCTTGGCCCAGTTTAAAACTGTCAATGGTGTAAATAGTGTTGGACCAAATGAAGAATTGTTCTGTTTGAAAATTACAGAAGGATGCGTAGGGATTTGAATCTGTGATCAGATTGGCAGGGTCTACCAACTGATTTCCAAAATTTCCCATGTTAACTATCTAGTGCTGAAAGCATTTTTAAAGAATTTTTATGAAATGAGTAATCAATTAAAATAGCAATGGATAGCACTTAATATCTTGGATAAAATGAACTGCCACAAGCATTTGGATTAAAACTTATGAATATAAATGGTTATATGATCGCACATTTAAGCGTCTTTTTATACATTAGTGAATTTAGTGATGTGCATGAACAATTTTTATGTCATTTATTATATAGCTAATGCATGTACTGTATAATAGTTTAAGAATAAAAATTGTATCGGTCTTATGTTGAAGTTAAAGATAACACGCATATATTGTAGTAACTGACCTGACCTGATGATTTTCTGATTTTTACAATAGAAAAAGAATTTCTCCAGTGAATTTTTATCAAAATGTAGGGTAAACAGTAGTTATTGGCCACATCATCTTAACGTTGTCCCACAGATGTAGGGTTCGTTATTCGGATCTTCAAACGCCACTTTGTTCGATCGAGTGTATCGCCTGGATTCAGATGCAAGGCCCTTAGGTGTCTGCATTGATAGCATCTTGCCATCGTTGCTTCGATCTTCCGTGTGGCCGGCGGCCGTTCACCTCTAGGTGGTAAGCAATGTTGGAAACTGTATCTGGGACTGATTGTCAGACGTGGCCAAACCAGCGCAGGCATCTCTCTCATTTTTGCCTCAATGGGTGCGATGCCAAATTGTTGGTGTATCGTGTCATTGGTGATATGGTCTAGGAGGGATACACCAAGTGTCATGTGAGCCATAAGCATCTCCATGGAATGGAGAAGCCATTCGGCTGCTTTCGTTGATGGCCAATGTTCGGAACCATAGAGAGCGATGGGTTGTACCACAATCCGGTAGATTTTCGATTTTAGGTACATGAGCATCTTTTTGCCGCAGAGAACACCGGTGACTTCTCTCCATCGTAGCCATGCCGCATTCATCCTCGTTTGTACCTCGTCGAGGCCACAGAATTTTTTAAATGAAAAATTCTATATGACATAATATTTCCTAATTTAATCTGTTACTGATAAATTTTTTTTTATAGCCTTTCTACTGCTGTCATCTAGAAATTACAAATGCCAATTGTATAATTCTTGTTTTACAAAAATGTGAGATTGCATGTGGCCAATAACTATATAAAATGACACAAAATAGCCCACAAGTTTTTCTTACCTAATGACAGCAGAAATACTGCAGTGAAATTTTTCCAGAATAGCTTTTTTAGTTTGCTGTCACCATTGAAAAAGTTTCACTAAATATGCTGATTTTGTTTATTCATAATACTGTTAGGCACAATTTAAGAAGAATTGTGCCTAAATACCTAATGACAATGTTTTTTTTCTAAATTATTGCTTGGTTTTGTTACTTTCCCAGGACATTTAATTATAATCTCTAAAATGTTTATATTATACTTCCAATAGTAATAAATGACATCTGAAAAATAACTTCCAGCTTCTGAATGACAAAACTGCATCATTGGCATATTGGGACCACTATACATGATGCGAAAGTGTCGTATAGTTGAAAGGGCATTTCTTAAAACTTCTCTATGTTTTTATGATAATTTACGGGCAATAACTGATAAAAGATAATCACTGAGAGAGGAAATATTAGTTAATTGCATGAACAAAAGAAATAAAAATACAGTAACGTTATACTAACTACACAATTCATTATAGTTGTAGATACTTGTAACTTGTCTTTAACAATTCAGTTGCAAGTTTTGAAATGATACTGACTTTTTTCTATCCCGAGGTACTGTAATTTGTATATTACTTAAGAATTTTGATGATTATTGGCTATTAAATTACAATCTTTCAAAAAATAAGAATATTTATTGGATTTATATTTTGTACAATGTAAAATGAATGATGAATATGATTATTTTTGTCACTATGTTTTGTTTACAAGCCAAGTCTTTGCTTAAAAAACCCAGTTTATAATATTAGAGCTTATTACAAAACTGATTCTAAAAATAAGATGAGAAAACTGAAAAGTACTTATTCAGTAAATTAACATTTACTTTTTTGTTACCTTTTTGAAATTTTATCACTAGATGCTATGATCTTGATACTAACAAAACAACTGAAAATAAATAAACTTTAAATAAGTCGATAAAATAAAAATGGAGAAATCTCTCATGTCTGATCGTTCCCCTATAAAAGAATTTATTTAATATTAGATTCCACATTTGAATGAATGATTAAAACCGTAATAATTGAAACTCACCTGGTTGGAAGCGGGAGATATCGAAAGAGAAGTCGAAGGAGTGGCCAGAGCGAAAGGGGGACTCTCCACGTTCAGAAATGGAGGTGACGATCTAGATACAGAAGGTATGTTGGCAAAGTATTGAATCTGAACGGGCTGTCCGGTTGCACCCAAGATCGATGATGTCTGTGGTATGACCTGTAATTAAATTTATTGATCGCAATGTTTTGAAACTCAATATGGAAATGCGCATCAATTATACCTGTACTGTATTTGACGGAATGTATTGAACCTGAGAAAACTGAGGTTGGATAATGAGAGATGACTTGGGTTGGCTGTTTGATAGTATTGATCCCAGCTGCTGTGAAGGAATGAGTTTTGTCGAAGGTATGGATACGGGAAGTGCTGTTTCTTCCTTTATGTGTTTAGATGATTGCTGAAAGATTCAGAAAAGTTTTAAACTACTAATGAATGAATAATATTTAGCAATACATTAGGTAATTTATTTTATTACAGAATTGTCTACAAACTATTGAATATGGCAAACAATAGGAAGCTAAAAAAATTCATACAATGCACAATTTTTATAAATACCATACTGCAGATGTGAATATTAAAATTGTAGAATTATGGAGCTAGAATAAAGCACAGGATATTCAATTATTTATGAATTTGAAAGATGAAATAAGTGAAAAAATGGATTGCAAAGATGCAAGTTTTAGTAGAAAAATAATATATTTTTTATTGTAAGATGCATTGCTTTATACCATCAATCAATCTAACAGAAATGAAATCTGTCAAGGAGGTGCCTCCTGGATGGATTTTCTATGGGAACTGACCTCTATTTAGGTGTTACGCAAAGAAAACATGGAAATTTCACATGGGCAAACCTGTGACTAGCTAGCGGTATTCAGTAATTTTATTCATACAGAAACTGATGGACCATGTCTTCACAAAATGTTATGTTAATAAATCAGAATTTGCTTGACCACACAAAGTTTATAAAAGCAATTCACACCAGTCTTAGATTTCAATTTTCAATATTATATATATATACATACATACATTATATATAAACATAACATTTTGTAAAGATGTGGTCCATATATATAACACAGGTAACTGACTAGAGATACTATAATTACAATACCGTCTAGAGAAATACTACACCAATTTAGTTAAATTTGAACTGCTAAATGACATTTCAGGACATGTGGACAGCATTTACATTAAAAAATTAGTACCAAAACTAAGGTGCTTTTAGTATTGCAAGAAATAAACATTTTATTTGTACAAGACACTCATGCTATACAGAGACCTTAGTATTGCAGGAGATATTGCTCAATATGGCCCCATTCTGAAGATGTATAATCTAAAGGTTGTGTGTTCAATGTCAAATGTAATTGCGCATAAGTCAGAGCTTTAATGTGATATTGTCTTTTAAGGCTATCAAGAACATAAAAATTGTGGGTTGTCAAGTTTACAAGATCCAAAGCAAAGCAGTCATAGTGATGTTTTTTATTTCTCCACATTGTTCTGAAATGCCACTGTATCAGATCTGGTTACATTTAGATTGCTGAATATCCAGTATATTAAAATTTCAGCATTACAATTGATTAAAAAAACAGCACAAATAGATCAAAAACATTTTAATGAATTGTTATGTTAACTAATTTCCCCAGAAAATCATAAATGTCAGAAATAGTAGATAAATATAATCTGATCATATTTATCATGCATCAAGAATGCAATCTCTGCACAATCATGTACAAATTTAGACTAATTATCTCATAGAAATGCATCTCCCTAAATTTTAATCACACAATGTAACAAATTCTTACTTTTAAAATTAAGAGAACTTGTTTTAGAATTTGCATAAATTTTGTTTACGTTATTTTTTCATCTTACAAGATATGAAAAATATTCAACTGTAAGTTAACTATGCAGAAGATAGTATATAGATAATGCAATGAATGATATTTACAAGTCAGTTTCAAAATCATAATATATGGTAAGAGCATTTAAGTCATAACTGCTCTGTACATTGTAGGAAACATTTTCAGGTCATTTTTTTTCACTGCCCACAGTCTGCAGATACAGTTGAACCTCAAAAACTCGGCCTAATGTGGACCGAAGGGGGGCCGAGTTTGTGAAAATGCCGGGTTATCGGGAATGGGGTTAAAAAAGGATAAGTATGCGTGTTTCCTCAGAAAATACTGTACTGTACTTGTATGTATTGTTTACTTGAGAATATAACAGAGAATAAACTGCCCAAATACCCTTAAACAAAGAAAAAGTACTTCCTTTATGAAGGCATAGAGCTTTTACTACATGAAAATGAAAATTAATGAATACACTGTGTACAGTAATTTACCTGATAAGACAGACCTCAGAAAAATACTTTATGAGAGCTTTTATACTTTTATAAAGCTGTCTATAATGAAAATTAATTAACTAAGGATTTTTTTGCCCTGCCAGGGTTTGGCCGAGTTATCCGGAGTGCCGGGTTATCGAGTGCCGAGTTTTCGAGGCTCTACTGTACTAAGAAACCTTTTCCGATATCTATTCTGGGCTTGGTCAGTTCCAAAATACAAGACCATCAGGTAGTGAAGGATGGAGCCGACAGACAGCTGGAGCAGATTGCTTATGATACTTTACTGGGGTTCTTTGCATGTCTGGATTCAATCCCATTTTCACAGAGCAGTATGCATTATGGGGTGATACTCTTAATTGTCTTGGCATCCGTCTACAATCTGTTAAATCCTATTTATAGTTCTATATACAAGCATAATAAAAATTGTTGTTACCAATCCCTTTATATAGATATATTCAATATTTCATAAATATAAAATATATAAATACTAATTTGTATTTAGCATCTACTATAATTTCAACCCAAAGACAACATAAGTGAATAAGTTTCATTTAAAATATAACTAATGATTCCTGTCTGCTTTAATTTTTATGTATTTTGATATTTCCTCAGAATTTTTTAAACTCTTTCTATGCAAACTATAGAAATCAAAGAAACTAAACTCATGATTGGGTTAGCCAGTTAAAAGGGATGTGATGTGATATATCTGGATCAAACTATCCATAAAAATGTGAGACCCCAGTCACAAGAGTAAAGATGGTGCTTCTGTGTGTATAACTATAAAGTATAAACAGGAACAACAATTATTTAGAATAAGCTGATGAGTCAAATTTTGATTCATGACTGGAGGGACTCAAGTGATCAGTTCTGCTTATTGGGCCAATGACAGAATGAATAAAAGGGAAGAAGTCATCAATGCTGAATAGATCTGTCAGAGAGAACTGACTCAAGTCATGGGTGTAGGACTTGAAAGTCTATATTGGAAAGTGTGCAGAAGTCAGCAATATACTTAAAATCACTTTTTAAATGATTTGGACCATTTATTTCAAGCCAACAATGAAAGCCTCCTAATTACCCATCATCAAATGAGCTCCCGTTGGCTTAAAACAAACCAAGTTAGGCTATGAATCAGGAGATGAAGATCTCTAACGTGTCTGATGGATCTTATTAATAGTGTGTAGTAAGGTACCAGCGTGTTCAGTAATAATAGTATTCGTTAAAATATTAAAATCTCAATAAACTTTGAAATTAATGAACTTTATATCTTAAATTAATAAAGCTTTATAACATCAAAAAATATCAGTACCACTAACCTGGGGTTTCTGTATAAGATGAGTGTCAGATTTAGATTGACCACAGGCAAGCATGTGTTTAGGCCAGTGTGTCTGCTGACATGTGTGATTGCAGTAATTTGTATTCCAGCAACAATAGAATGCAGCTTCTTTTCCACAATTAGCACACTAAAACAAAAATCAGAGTTATGTTTTAATTTTACAACCACATTAAAATATAATTACAGTCATTATTTATTCCAACAATATGATAACAATGAATGATTAAGTTATGAAATATTGTAGCTATATACAGGGTTGATTGTACAAAGAACTAGTGGGCAAATCTCAACCAAATTTAGTATACATACCGTCCCAGTTTAATCACTTAATGTGCACATTATATGTTTTCTAACAAATTTTGGGTATTAAAGGAGTTGCAAAATGCTCTATATAATTCTTCGTCACGTACCAAATTTGGTTGAAAATTGCCAAATAGTTTTTTCAGCAGATGGCTCTGAACACCTTCTCTGTAATTATGATCACAAAGATATTACCATACTGGCTTGAATATAGTTCGACCTTTTATTATTAATTAGTAATTTTTTGTATACAGTTAAAATTAATAATAATCAATCTCTGTGTAATTACCCATTGTTTCTTCTTTGTTTCGTCTACAGCCTTTTGCTTTTCTCTTTCACTTTGTTGCATCAATTCCGTTATTGCTCTTTGTTTATCTGCTTCTATGCTTGCTCTCATTTCCAGAAGAACTAAATCTATAATATCAGTAATAAGTCAATTTACTTCATAATTTTTATATTATATATCAGGTGATGAAATGAAAAGTTTACTTGTAAGTAGTAGTTTTGGCAATGTAAGCCAGCCTATAGTTGTTACATGCACTGCAAGAAACAGTTCAATCTTAAACATTTGTTTACTATGAATTAGAGGAGAACTATCACAGATTGGACTATTTCCAATCATTATAAGTAGCAGAGGCTAATTCCTGGCTTAAAGCAGAGTAAGATATTTTTGTCTATCCTGCTCTTTCAGCAAACTACGGCTTTTAACGAGAATTGTTTTTGAAACTCTATATAAATAAATCAGTTCTATATGGTAAGTCAATCACTGAATTCCAGTGTCATGAAGTTTACTCCTTATAAATAAACTTTTCATTTGATCATAGTGCATTTATTATAACGTTTACCTGCATTATGCTTCAATTCAGCTATTTCTTGTTGATGGTACCATTGAAGTCTTTCAATTTCTAGTTGGAGATTTTTGACTGTCATTTTAAGACCATCAAGATCTGACATGTTTGATAATGTTGTCCGTTGCTCGTCAAAGCCAGAATCCACCACCTTCAGAAGACAATTTCTAAAGTTTATTCTAAAATGTATCATTTGTATAGATAAAAATAATTCAACGATCCTACCATTGGTGTATATGACTTAGCTTCCAGCTTTGATGCATTCGAATCATTGTCTATGAAATTCTCTTCAATTTTTTCACCTACTTCATTTTGTTGCTGTTCTATTTCTTGAATGCATTCTTCATTATTAGCTTCTAAAATATTTAAAAATTATGAATAATTTATTTGTAAATTAAAATATAAACTGTACTTTCATCCTACCTGATTGTTTTTGTACTTTTTCTTTATCAGTTTTTCCACTTTTTTTAATGCTAGTTTGATTAGTAAGTTCTAATACATCTTGTTGTAATGATAATAAAGCAATATTATCTTTATCCTTTACATTCTCTTGTTTTTCTTCAGGTTTACTGAAAACTTCTGTTTGTTTTGCTTTCTTAGCTTTCTGAACAATGACAGCTAAAGGTTGGGAATCATCGGACAAAGAATCTAAATCGTTATCGGAAGTTTTATCTTTAGACTTTTTGCTTTCGGCAGACTTACGCCTATTAGATTTATTTTCACCTTTAGTGTTCATAAATGACTTAGATGTAGTTGGTGATTGTGAAATACTAGATGGTTTTCCCTCCGACTCAAAATTCGGTTTGCTTTGCTTTTCTTTATGATCCTCATCTGAAGCACTTCCTTCATTTATGGAATGATCACCCAAATACTCCTCATCAGATTCAATGATATCAATATCATCCTTTATTTCTTTAATGCCAAGTTTTGCCTTGCATGATTCTATTATATGATGTAATTTTTGAGAAAAGGTATCTTTTTTCTTTGGCGTGACATTACACAATTCTGCAAGTGGCCGATCTTCGGAATCACTATCCGATAATGCATTTGTAGCTGTTTTATTGTCACACTTGTCACCCTTTTTCTCTTTCTTTTCAGTTTTTACATTAGTTTTTGTATTAATAATATTTTCATCTGCGCATTCTGATTTTATTTCTGTGCTCTGTATAGACGGTAAAGAAAACTGTGATGAACTATGTTGTAGGTCAGTTTCGTTATCAGATTCATCCTTACTTATTTCTTTTATCTGCTGAATCTTCGATTCTAATTTCTCGATTATTTTTCCATGACTCTGATCGACTTTTTTCAAGTTTAACTTAGGAATATTAATTTCTAACAAAGCGGGCATTTTAATGCTAGATTCGTCACTCACTTCAAAGATTCCAACGGGAGGAGGACGCTTTTTTGTATTAGTCTTGGGTTTAATCAATTCAATTGGCTGCTGGGGTGTTTGAGGTTTCTCTTCGTCGGGTGTTGATGCCGGTTTGGTACTGGCGAAATTTAATTTCCTGGAAGCTTTATTACTTTGTGATTTTCCATAACGGCCTTCTTTGGATTTTGACTGCTTTATTTCTTGAGAAAATTTTATTGAACTATCTGAATAATAAAAAAATAATTTAATTAAATAAATATATTTGAAACATTTTGAAAAGATTATTTATAAAATAAATTTCAGATAGAAGACAGTAGAAATTTCTTATCAAAATTACTACTATCAAATATTATTATTTAGATAAGTGTTGTCCAAGCTAAAATCTCCTGGCCAGTCGAACTCACAATTTACTCTCTGGCCCATAAAACTATCAGTCATAAATGATAAAAAAAATTATAAACTTTATAAATTATACAGTCCCTATTTGAACTAAAAATTAAATTCTTTGTTTACTTTTTGCTGATTGCAATGTACATGTATACGAGGCACGTCCAGAAATTAATTCCTGATAGCTTAGAAAGAATAGAAGCTTTCTTCTTTGAACTTAACTTTCACAGGAAAATACATAGTAAACACTCCAACAACCTTAACAAATAAGCTTTTTCAAACCCTCATCAAAGAAGTCTCTTGCCAATTTACAGATATGCAAGAGACTTCTTTGATGAGGGTTTTGCAGATATGCAAGTTCAAAGAAATAAGTTTCTGTTCCTTTCTAACCAATTAGAACTTAACTTCTGAATGTGTCGCATAAATTTTAAAGAACCTGTCTCATTCTATTCCTTTATACGCTTGGACTAAATAGAAATGTTTGTGGCCTTTTACTTACAACTTATATTTGACCTGTCAAACAAAACATTTGACTATTGTCAATTTAGATCATTAAAGATGTACTGATTTTAAAATATTTGCATATTAATTAGTTGAAACATAATGAAATTTGACATATTTAGAAATTAGCTGCAATAACTTATTAAATAAAGAAGTCATTATATTATTTACGCAAAATATGTTGCATTTAATCTCGTTAAAAGTAAAACCTTAGTGTAATATTATAACAAGCGTGAAATCTGCAGACAATTAAAACATGAATAACCTGGAGTAGAGATTGGAGTATTATATGTAGAAATTGGTGATGCTACATTACTTGATGATGGAGAATAAGTTAACTCTAGAACCTGAAAATAACAAAATCATTAAATTAAAACTAAACAGAAATTTAACTTAAGTTTTTTAAAATTTTTAATAATTTACCTTTGGATTAATGAGAGTACTGTAAAAAGGAGGATTATTGGGGTCAAATGGTTGACGGATAGGAGCGTATTCAAAAGTTCCGAAAATCTCTCTTATTCTGTATGCGTAAATGGTAATTTCTTCAAGAGCGGCTTCAAAATTTCCTTTCTTTTTGCATTTTAATTGTGTTGGCATTTCTTTTGAAAGTAAATAGCATTGATTTACAGGAACCCATGCTCTGTTGTAAATAAAATTGAATTTTTATCTCATTAATAAGAACTATATTCCTTATTAATCACAATTATACCTGTCATGTGCTCCAAAAAATCTGGTATCAACATTACCATTTATGATCCTCATAACCTAAACAAAAAATGAAACCTATATAATTTATAGTTTAACATTTGTAATATTCCGTAAATAATTCTAAATATTATAGATTTGTGTTTCTCAACTGGTGGTCCATGGTTCATTACAGTGCAGGGTTTTTAGTGTCTACAGCATGAGAAACGTCGAGAACCACTTCTATAGATTATATATATAATAGATTCTGTTTACTGTAATTATGGATAATGTTATAGGTCTTTTTACACCTCATTTTGTGCTGTAGCCTCAACACACGAGTGATAACATGCAATTGTTGGATGGCAAAGATGATAAAGACGTCAGCTTACTGCTCTGTGGATCCAGCATCAAATCTGGATAGAGATTGCTAGGAATGTTTTATGGTAGGTCTGTCCCAGATATTTCAGGCTCCATATCTCACCAGGCAGCCTACCCCAGCATTGGAGTAGAATGACTGGTGAGAGCATGCCAAGCTTAACCCATGACAGACATGGAAAAAGGACATTTTAAGGCATACAGGGTAGAAAGAAAAAACATGAAAGAGTTATCAATTTTAGTCAGTCAGTACTTTAAATGTTAAATATTAGTCACTTAAACTATTGTATTGTGAGCAAATAATAATTATAGTTTCTAGTATTATGCTAGTTGTTGTTAAGATTGGTAGCAGACAAACAATTCCTGATAAATTATAATTAATAAACTTTAATGGCTATAATAAAAATATTAATAAAAATGGCTAGGATAATAAATATGTTTTAAAATTCACAAAATAATTGAAGAATACAAAAATGTCTTAACATTTCATCCTTGTCACGTCTCAAACACAAAACAGTCTTATGTCAGAGTCGACCTTTTGTTGTTACCTCAATAAGAGGCGAAAAAGCTGCTGCCATCAGACTGACATTTTTGAATTCAATTATTTTGTGAACTTCAAGTTAAACATTTTAGTTCTTTAATGTGAATGAAACTAGAATTTCCTGTAGTCTTATTCTGCTTAATGCTAACTAATCAGTTACTATTATCAGTTTGAGATGATAATAAACAGAATCTACTACATATATATAAACAGTTTTTACCTTTTGGATATAATAATGTTCCCAAAAATGTGAATAAAAAATCAAACAACACAGTTTGTGATAAAAGATCAAAGGTCACCAAGGAGAAAAGTTATAAAATATCTTATTTAAGTAAGAAAGTTATACTTATTTTATAGTGAATATGTTACAATGCATAAAACAGAAAACTATGGATTAAACATAAAATATCAAATGATTTTGATTCTATTGAAACCAAAACTATGACAGATAGTGCTCCTACCGTGATTGCTCAAAATTTTTATTTGGCATAAAAAAGCAATTTAGAAATATTAAAATATATACAAAAGCATTGTCTGAAAATTGAAGATAAACTGTATATGCCTATTATATTAAATTATTAATACTATAGTTAAATATAACAGTTAATATTTACTGATCTTAACTTACTTTAGCTGGCCAAAATGGGAATCCCTTCAGTTTAGCCCATACAACAATATGTGGCTTTCTCTACAGAAAAATAAATGGAATTAAATTAACTAAGATTGTGATAGTGTACATTTTAATTTTAAAATATGAAACAAATATATATTATGCGCAAAGTGTTATTATTGTAGCTCTAAGTTTTGTCATCAGAAGAAAAACATTTCCTTTCAATGTGCGGAAAGAGGAAAAAACCATAAGGTGCTAAGTCCAGGGAATATGGCAAATGTGGAAGAACCTCTCACCTATGGCAGTGACCACTAGCTGCAATGACAACACTTTACATGCTGTCAAAATGTTATACGACAAAACACTGAAAAGGAGGAGAGAACATTATCCGTTGGTGCAACAAATGGTGGATTAACATTGATGATAGCCTGAATAAGATTTTATATATTCATTTTGACTAAAAGTAACAACAAACAATGATTAAATATGGAACTAGTGAACATTCCAATTGCAATTGACATATTAACCAGTCCTATAATATTTAATAATAAAGCATGATGCAAACTTCACGATTGTTCAAGAGTGCCATAGGTAAGAAAATCACTGTTTTAATACAATATTTTAAAATGAACTTTACTCTTATTTTAATATAGATATAACATTTGAAACTAACGAAAGATTTAAAAATAAATGTCAGACATTTGAAAATGTATTAATGAAATCATAATGACACACAGTTGAAGCTGTCTATCTCAAATATGACGTTTATCTTAAAATTTATTTTTTCCCCTGCATTTTCAGTTAAATTCAATACATTTTTCATGTTTATCTCCAATAATTTTCTCCCAAAACCTCTATATCTCAAATTATGGACCAAAGTGTCAATTACAAATTCAAAGCTTAGCGACTAGCGACTACATTTTGATAGTATAAATTGTAGTTGAGAAACATCTCTTGCAATACAGTACATAGTTGCTTTTCTCCTATCGGCTACGAGTTTTGGCTTGCATCTTATCGGTTGAAGAATGTTGGGCATCAGAAATTATTGACAAAGTACTAATGTTAAGGTATAACAAAAATGTTTTATTTATATCTAATATAGGTATGTACTGCACTTACTTGTGTATAAATTAAATACTGTACCTTCAATCAAACCTATTATTGTTTACTGTGTAGGAATCGTTGTATCTTGAAACCTGACTATATCAAATTTTTTCCCTTATTCTTATGAGATTCAAGATAGACAGGTTCAACTGTATAAGTTTAAACTGAAAAATATATTTATTAAATTAATTTTTCTAAATCAGATACTTAGTTCTTGAATGAGAACCAAGTATCTGAGATGTAACTCCTCTGTCACTCGTATTAAATTTCATTATAATAAATCTCTATGTTGTAAAGCTTAAGAAGCAAAAAATTTCTTAAAAATTACACTACAATATATAAAATTTTGATATATTTTTATTTTGTAAATTACATAAATGTAATAGCATCAAGTTAAAATAGTATTTTATGTAAAGAGAAATCTAAAAATCACTTACACATGGTTCACAAAACCAATGTTCTCTATGCATGCAAGAATGTAAGTAGCAGTCGGGACAAATTTCTATTTCTTCCATTTCATATTTGCATAATTTTACCAGATTTTTTGCACTGTTGGTCAACTGATGATTATCTGAAATAATTCAGCTGTTTATAAAATTTAACTAGATTTAGTTTTGCACTAAAATTAACTAACGTAATTTGAATAAGGAAAGCTCGAAAAATATTTTTACTTATAATTATTCTAAATTTACATTCAATTTAATATAATTAAGAATTCAAACTTAGAATTCATCCTGGCTAATCTTTCTACGCATTTTGGCTGGTGCTCCCATGTAAATCATATAATATCATAACGTCAATGTAAATTGGAAACAAACTTGTCCTGTTTGTATTTGCCGTTTTAAATTTATAGTCTCCCAACAGTTTGCTAAAGTTGCTGATTGTTTGCTTTTGAACTGTATTGCAGTAGGAAGTGCTCATTACAATTTTCACTTCAAAAAACTTCTTTATTACTCATTCCTATCTGTCATCAGTCATTAAGCCTCCCTCCCCATACCATCCACCATCACTACAACCACTGTCACAAACAAAATTGGGTAAATAATAATCTTGTTTTTAGTAATCTTTCTTAAATGTATATATATAGGGTTCCTACTCAAATTTTTATTTTAATTTTCATGACTTTCCCTGACCAACTTTGTACAAATTACCTGACTCTCATGTCCCTTACAGTATGGCACATTAACAAAATAAAAAAGTATTTGACTTACTATGCACGTATGTTTTGCTTCTCCAACATTTTAATTAGTTAATTTTTTCTAATTAAAATTAAAAATAAAATTATTATTAAAATTCTGTTATTAACGCACAACCATAGATCTACATGGCTTTGAAAAAAGAAAAAAAATCAATTATTTTTTATTCATCATTAACAATTTCTATATAATCCATGTACAAAAGTATATATTTATTAAATTTATCTCTTAATAAATTTCCTGAACTTTATAAAATATTAATAAACTGGGAAAAAAAATCGAAAAGCGTTTTGTTATGCATCAAAATTATTCAAATGAAAATTGATAAACAATACCATTTAAACCATTTATAATTTTGTGTGCTTTGTAAATTTTTGGAAAAATTTTGTGTAAGCTTGGGAGGAATTTTGGGTCCTGAAAATATTCTGCACCCCTTTTCATAACTTGTATTGCACCACATTACTCCTTGCCGCCTGCAGATGGCTACACTTAGTCAAGTATACTGTAGCAAAAAATCAACAAGACAGAAAAGGATGCAAATTCCCTGACTATTTGACAATTTTTAACAAATTCTCTGACATTCCATGACTTTTAATGAACACTAATGAAAATCCCTGATTTTCCTGGTGTGTAAAAACCCTGTATATAGCTCACACTTATTTAAATGTTTAATATTAAAATTGTTTTGAGACATTATTTAGAAGTTTGATGACGTTTACATGACCAGGAATATGTTATAACTGAACATTAGTTTATATCAATTAGCCTGTGGTAAAATTGGTTTGTTATATATCTTTTCACTTACAGTTTCAGTGAAAAATTGCTGCGTATAAACTTGAAACATAATGAGAAAATATTTAGCTTTTCTTGATATATACTGATAATCTAATAATTATTTGCTGAGTATGTTCTGTTAAATATTTTGTATATTTGGTTATTTTTACATGGTTTCTTTGAAGGTTTTATTGATTTATAGCATATATTCAATAATAATAAGCATAAAAAAAACATTAACTTAAATGCAGAAACATGAATATATCACCTTACATTCTTTTTTAACTAAATTGCTAAAGGAATAAATAATTTTTTTTTACCATGCTTACTTACATTACACTATTTAGAATAATCCATTTTATTGAGTAATTTGAGAAAGTCAAATTCAAGAGAAAAAAATTGTACAAAAAAAATTAGAAATTATTTTTAAAAATTTGTCTGAAACATTATTCTTAATATACAATCTGTCATTAAAATTACAGACAACATTGAGAAGATTCTTTTTGTTATAGTCTGTCCATAGTAAAACAAAAGTAAGTTTTACATTATACAAGAACTCAAAAAAGTCATTAAAAGGTTTAGTATTTATTACTGATTACAGTTTTCGAATACAGTAGAACCTCAAAAACTCGGCCTATTGTGGACCGAAGGGTAGCCGAGTCTGTGAAAATGCCAGGTTATCGGGAATGGGGTTAAAAAAGGATAAGTATGCGTGTTTCCTCAGAAAATACTGTACTGTACTTGTATGTATTGTTTACTTGAGAATATAACAGAGAATAAACTGCCCAAATACCCTTAAACAAAGAAAAAGTACGTCCTTTATGAAGGCATAGAGCCTTTACTACATGAAAATGAAAATTAATGAATACACTGTGTACAGTAATTTACCTGATAAGACAGACCTCAGAAAAATACTTTATGAGAGCTTTTATACTTTTATAAAGCTGTCTATAATGAAAATTAATTAACTAAGGATTTTTTTGCCCTGCCAGGGTTTGGCCGAGTTATCCGGAGTGCCGGGTTATCGAGTGCCGAGTTTTCGAGGCTCTACTGTACTAAGAAACCTTTTCCGATATCTATTCTGGGCTTGGTCAGTTCCAAAATACAAGACCATCAGGTAGTGAAGGATGGAGCCGACAGACAGCTGGAGCAGATTGCTTATGATACTTTACTGGGGTTCTTTGCATGTCTGGATTCAATCCCATTTTCACAGAGCAGTATGCATTATGGGGTGATACTCTTAATTGTCTTGGCATCCGTCTACAATCTGTTAAATCCTATTTATAGTTCTATATACAAGCACAATAAAAATTGTTGTTACCAATCCCTTTATATAGATATATTCAATATTTCATAAATATAAAATATATAAATACTAATTTGTATTTAGCATCTACTATAATTTCAACCCAAAGACAACATAAGTGAATAAGTTTCATTTAAAATATAACTAATGATTCCTGTCTGCTTTAATTTTTATGTATTTTGATATTTCCTCAGAATTTTTTAAACTCTTTCTATGCAAACTATAGAAATCAAAGAAACTAAACTCATGATTGGGTTAGCCAGTTAAAAGGGATGTGATGTGATATATCTGGATCAAACTATCCATAAAAATGTGAGACCCCAGTCACAAGAGTAAAGATGGTGCTTCTGTGTGTATAACTATAAAGTATAAACAGGAACAACAATTATTTAGAATAAGCTGATGAGTCAAATTTTGATTCATGACTGGAGGGACTCAAGTGATCAGTTCTGCTTATTGGGCCAATGACAGAATGAATAAAAGGGAAGAAGTCATCAATGCTGAATAGATCTGTCAGAGAGAACTGACTCAAGTCATGGGTGTAGGACTTGAAAGTCTATATTGGAAAGTGTGCAGAAGTCAGCAATATACTTAAAATCACTTTTTAAATGATTTGGACCATTTATTTCAAGCCAACAATGAAAGCCTCCTAATTACCCATCATCAAATGAGCTCCCGTTGGCTTAAAACAAACCAAGTTAGGCTATGAATCAGGAGATGAAGATCTCTAACGTGTCTGATGGATCTTATTAATAGTGTGTAGTAAGGTACCAGCGTGTTCAGTAATAATAGTATTCGTTAAAATATTAAAATCTCAATAAACTTTGAAATTAATGAACTTTATATCTTAAATTAATAAAGCTTTATAACATCAAAAAATATCAGTACCACTAACCTGGGGTTTCTGTATAAGATGAGTGTCAGATTTAGATTGACCACAGGCAAGCATGTGTTTAGGCCAGTGTGTCTGCTGACATGTGTGATTGCAGTAATTTGTATTCCAGCAACAATAGAATGCAGCTTCTTTTCCACAATTAGCACACTAAAACAAAAATCAGAGTTATGTTTTAATTTTACAACCACATTAAAATATAATTACAGTCATTATTTATTCCAACAATATGATAACAATGAATGATTAAGTTATGAAATATTGTAGCTATATACAGGGTTGATTGTACAAAGAACTAGTGGGCAAATCTCAACCAAATTTAGTATACATACCGTCCCAGTTTAATCACTTAATGTGCACATTACATGTTTTCTAACAAATTTTGGGTATTAAAGGAGTTGCAAAATGCTCTATATAATTCTTCGTCACGTACCAAATTTGGTTGAAAATTGCCAAATAGTTTTTTCAGCAGATGGCTCTGAACACCTTCTCTGTAATTATGATCACAAAGATATTACCATACTGGCTTGAATATAGTTCGACCTTTTATTATTAATTAGTAATTTTTTGTATACAGTTAAAATTAATAATAATCAATCTCTGTGTAATTACCCATTGTTTCTTCTTTGTTTCGTCTACAGCCTTTTGCTTTTCTCTTTCACTTTGTTGCATCAATTCCGTTATTGCTCTTTGTTTATCTGCTTCTATGCTTGCTCTCATTTCCAGAAGAACTAAATCTATAATATCAGTAATAAGTCAATTTACTTCATAATTTTTATATTATATATCAGGTGATGAAATGAAAAGTTTACTTGTAAGTAGTAGTTTTGGCAATGTAAGCCAGCCTATAGTTGTTACATGCACTGCAAGAAACAGTTCAATCTTAAACATTTGTTTACTATGAATTAGAGGAGAACTATCACAGATTGGACTATTTCCAATCATTATAAGTAGCAGAGGCTAATTCCTGGCTTAAAGCAGAGTAAGATATTTTTGTCTATCCTGCTCTTTCAGCAAACTACGGCTTTTAACGAGAATTGTTTTTGAAACTCTATATAAATAAATCAGTTCTATATGGTAAGTCAATCACTGAATTCCAGTGTCATGAAGTTTACTCCTTATAAATAAACTTTTCATTTGATCATAGTGCATTTATTATAACGTTTACCTGCATTATGCTTCAATTCAGCTATTTCTTGTTGATGGTACCATTGAAGTCTTTCAATTTCTAGTTGGAGATTTTTGACTGTCATTTTAAGACCATCAAGATCTGACATGTTTGATAATGTTGTCCGTTGCTCGTCAAAGCCAGAATCCACCACCTTCAGAAGACAATTTCTAAAGTTTATTCTAAAATGTATCATTTGTATAGATAAAAATAATTCAACGATCCTACCATTGGTGTATATGACTTAGCTTCCAGCTTTGATGCATTCGAATCATTGTCTATGAAATTCTCTTCAATTTTTTCACCTACTTCATTTTGTTGCTGTTCTATTTCTTGAATGCATTCTTCATTATTAGCTTCTAAAATATTTAAAAATTATGAATAATTTATTTGTAAATTAAAATATAAACTGTACTTTCATCCTACCTGATTTTTTTTGTACTTTTTCTTTATCAGTTTTTCCACTTTTTTTAATGCTAGTTTGATTAGTAAGTTCTAATACATCTTGTTGTAATGATAATAAAGCAATATTATCTTTATCCTTTACATTCTCTTGTTTTTCTTCAGGTTTACTGAAAACTTCTGTTTGTTTTGCTTTCTTAGCTTTCTGAACAATGACAGCTAAAGGTTGGGAATCATCGGACAAAGAATCTAAATCGTTATCGGAAGTTTTATCTTTAGACTTTTTGCTTTCGGCAGACTTACGCCTATTAGATTTATTTTCACCTTTAGTGTTCATAAATGACTTAGATGTAGTTGGTGATTGTGAAATACTAGATGGTTTTCCCTCCGACTCAAAATTCGGTTTGCTTTGCTTTTCTTTATGATCCTCATCTGAAGCACTTCCTTCATTTATGGAATGATCACCCAAATACTCCTCATCAGATTCAATGATATCAATATCATCCTTTATTTCTTTAATGCCAAGTTTTGCCTTGCATGATTCTATTATATGATGTAATTTTTGAGAAAAGGTATCTTTTTTCTTTGGCGTGACATTACACAATTCTGCAAGTGGCCGATCTTCGGAATCACTATCCGATAATGCATTTGTAGCTGTTTTATTGTCACACTTGTCACCCTTTTTCTCTTTCTTTTCAGTTTTTACATTAGTTTTTGTATTAATAATATTTTCATCTGCGCATTCTGATTTTATTTCTGTGCTCTGTATAGACGGTAAAGAAAACTGTGATGAACTATGTTGTAGGTCAGTTTCGTTATCAGATTCATCCTTACTTATTTCTTTTATCTGCTGAATCTTCGATTCTAATTTCTCGATTATTTTTCCATGACTCTGATCGACTTTTTTCAAGTTTAACTTAGGAATATTAATTTCTAACAAAGCGGGCATTTTAATGCTAGATTCGTCACTCACTTCAAAGATTCCAACGGGAGGAGGACGCTTTTTTGTATTAGTCTTGGGTTTAATCAATTCAATTGGCTGCTGGGGTGTTTGAGGTTTCTCTTCGTCGGGTGTTGATGCCGGTTTGGTACTGGCGAAATTTAATTTCCTGGAAGCTTTATTACTTTGTGATTTTCCATAACGGCCTTCTTTGGATTTTGACTGCTTTATTTCTTGAGAAAATTTTATTGAACTATCTGAATAATAAAAAAATAATTTAATTAAATAAATATATTTGAAACATTTTGAAAAGATTATTTATAAAATAAATTTCAGATAGAAGACAGTAGAAATTTCTTATCAAAATTACTACTATCAAATATTATTATTTAGATAAGTGTTGTCCAAGCTAAAATCTCCTGGCCAGTCGAACTCACAATTTACTCTCTGGCCCATAAAACTATCAGTCATAAATGATAAAAAAAATTATAAACTTTATAAATTATACAGTCCCTATTTGAACTAAAAATTAAATTCTTTGTTTACTTTTTGCTGATTGCAATGTACATGTATACGAGGCACGTCCAGAAATTAATTCCTGATAGCTTAGAAAGAATAGAAGCTTTCTTCTTTGAACTTAACTTTCACAGGAAAATACATAGTAAACACTCCAACAACCTTAACAAATAAGCTTTTTCAAACCCTCATCAAAGAAGTCTCTTGCCAATTTACAGATATGCAAGAGACTTCTTTGATGAGGGTTTTGCAGATATGCAAGTTCAAAGAAATAAGTTTCTGTTCCTTTCTAACCAATTAGAACTTAACTTCTGAATGTGTCGCATAAATTTTAAAGAACCTGTCTCATTCTATTCCTTTATACGCTTGGACTAAATAGAAATGTTTGTGGCCTTTTACTTACAACTTATATTTGACCTGTCAAACAAAACATTTGACTATTGTCAATTTAGATCATTAAAGATGTACTGATTTTAAAATATTTGCATATTAATTAGTTGAAACATAATGAAATTTGACATATTTAGAAATTAGCTGCAATAACTTATTAAATAAAGAAGTCATTATATTATTTACGCAAAATATGTTGCATTTAATCTCGTTAAAAGTAAAATCTTAGTGTAATATTATAACAAGCGTGAAATCTGCAGACAATTAAAACATGAATAACCTGGAGTAGAGATTGGAGTATTATATGTAGAAATTGGTGATGCTACATTACTTGATGATGGAGAATAAGTTAACTCTAGAACCTGAAAATAACAAAATCATTAAATTAAAACTAAACAGAAATTTAACTTAAGTTTTTTAAAATTTTTAATAATTTACCTTTGGATTAATGAGAGTACTGTAAAAAGGAGGATTATTGGGGTCAAATGGTTGACGGATAGGAGCGTATTCAAAAGTTCCGAAAATCTCTCTTATTCTGTATGCGTAAATGGTAATTTCTTCAAGAGCGGCTTCAAAATTTCCTTTCTTTTTGCATTTTAATTGTGTTGGCATTTCTTTTGAAAGTAAATAGCATTGATTTACAGGAACCCATGCTCTGTTGTAAATAAAATTGAATTTTTATCTCATTAATAAGAACTATATTCCTTATTAATCACAATTATACCTGTCATGTGCTCCAAAAAATCTGGTATCAACATTACCATTTATGATCCTCATAACCTAAACAAAAAATGAAACCTATATAATTTATAGTTTAACATTTGTAATATTCCGTAAATAATTCTAAATATTATAGATTTGTGTTTCTCAACTGGTGGTCCATGGTTCATTACAGTGCAGGGTTTTTAGTGTCTACAGCATGAGAAACGTCGAGAACCACTTCTATAGATTATATATATAATAGATTCTGTTTACTGTAATTATGGATAATGTTATAGGTCTTTTTACACCTCATTTTGTGCTGTAGCCTCAACACACGAGTGATAACATGCAATTGTTGGATGGCAAAGATGATAAAGACGTCAGCTTACTGCTCTGTGGATCCAGCATCAAATCTGGATAGAGATTGCTAGGAATGTTTTATGGTAGGTCTGTCCCAGATATTTCAGGCTCCATATCTCACCAGGCAGCCTACCCCAGCATTGGAGTAGAATGACTGGTGAGAGCATGCCAAGCTTAACCCATGACAGACATGGAAAAAGGACATTTTAAGGCATACAGGGTAGAAAGAAAAAACATGAAAGAGTTATCAATTTTAGTCAGTCAGTACTTTAAATGTTAAATATTAGTCACTTAAACTATTGTATTGTGAGCAAATAATAATTATAGTTTCTAGTATTATGCTAGTTGTTGTTAAGATTGGTAGCAGACAAACAATTCCTGATAAATTATAATTAATAAACTTTAATGGCTATAATAAAAATATTAATAAAAATGGCTAGGATAATAAATATGTTTTAAAATTCACAAAATAATTGAAGAATACAAAAATGTCTTAACATTTCATCCTCGTCACGTCTCAAACACAAAACAGTCTTATGTCAGAGTCGACCTTTTGTTGTTACCTCAATAAGAGGCGAAAAAGCTGCTGCCATCAGACTGACATTTTTGAATTCAATTATTTTGTGAACTTCAAGTTAAACATTTTAGTTCTTTAATGTGAATGAAACTAGAATTTCCTGTAGTCTTATTCTGCTTAATGCTAACTAATCAGTTACTATTATCAGTTTGAGATGATAATAAACAGAATCTACTACATATATATAAACAGTTTTTACCTTTTGGATATAATAATGTTCCCAAAAATGTGAATAAAAAATCAAACAACACAGTTTGTGATAAAAGATCAAAGGTCACCAAGGAGAAAAGTTATAAAATATCTTATTTAAGTAAGAAAGTTATACTTATTTTATAGTGAATATGTTACAATGCATAAAACAGAAAACTATGGATTAAACATAAAATATCAAATGATTTTGATTCTATTGAAACCAAAACTATGACAGATAGTGCTCCTACCGTGATTGCTCAAAATTTTTATTTGGCATAAAAAAGCAATTTAGAAATATTAAAATATATACAAAAGCATTGTCTGAAAATTGAAGATAAACTGTATATGCCTATTATATTAAATTATTAATACTATAGTTAAATATAACAGTTAATATTTACTGATCTTAACTTACTTTAGCTGGCCAAAATGGGAATCCCTTCAGTTTAGCCCATACAACAATATGTGGCTTTCTCTACAGAAAAATAAATGGAATTAAATTAACTAAGATTGTGATAGTGTACATTTTAATTTTAAAATATGAAACAAATATATATTATGCGCAAAGTGTTATTATTGTAGCTCTAAGTTTTGTCATCAGAAGAAAAACATTTCCTTTCAATGTGCGGAAAGAGGAAAAAACCATAAGGTGCTAAGTCCAGGGAATATGGCAAATGTGGAAGAACCTCTCACCTATGGCAGTGACCACTAGCTGCAATGACAACACTTTACATGCTGTCAAAATGTTATACGACAAAACACTGAAAAGGAGGAGAGAACATTATCCGTTGGTGCAACAAATGGTGGATTAACATTGATGATAGCCTGAATAAGATTTTATATATTCATTTTGACTAAAAGTAACAACAAACAATGATTAAATATGGAACTAGTGAACATTCCAATTGCAATTGACATATTAACCAGTCCTATAATATTTAATAATAAAGCATGATGCAAACTTCACGATTGTTCAAGAGTGCCATAGGTAAGAAAATCACTGTTTTAATACAATATTTTAAAATGAACTTTACTCTTATTTTAATATAGATATAACATTTGAAACTAACGAAAGATTTAAAAATAAATGTCAGACATTTGAAAATGTATTAATGAAATCATAATGACACACAGTTGAAGCTGTCTATCTCAAATATGACGTTTATCTTAAAATTTATTTTTTCCCCTGCATTTTCAGTTAAATTCAATACATTTTTCATGTTTATCTCCAATAATTTTCTCCCAAAACCTCTATATCTCAAATTATGGACCAAAGTGTCAATTACAAATTCAAAGCTTAGCGACTAGCGACTACATTTTGATAGTATAAATTGTAGTTGAGAAACATCTCTTGCAATACAGTACATAGTTGCTTTTCTCCTATCGGCTACGAGTTTTGGCTTGCATCTTATCGGTTGAAGAATGTTGGGCATCAGAAATTATTGACAAAGTACTAATGTTAAGGTATAACAAAAATGTTTTATTTATATCTAATATAGGTATGTACTGCACTTACTTGTGTATAAATTAAATACTGTACCTTCAATCAAACCTATTATTGTTTACTGTGTAGGAATCGTTGTATCTTGAAACCTGACTATATCAAATTTTTTCCCTTATTCTTATGAGATTCAAGATAGACAGGTTCAACTGTATAAGTTTAAACTGAAAAATATATTTATTAAATTAATTTTTCTAAATCAGATACTTAGTTCTTGAATGAGAACCAAGTATCTGAGATGTAACTCCTCTGTCACTCGTATTAAATTTCATTATAATAAATCTCTATGTTGTAAAGCTTAAGAAGCAAAAAATTTCTTAAAAATTACACTACAATATATAAAATTTTGATATATTTTTATTTTGTAAATTACATAAATGTAATAGCATCAAGTTAAAATAGTATTTTATGTAAAGAGAAATCTAAAAATCACTTACACATGGTTCACAAAACCAATGTTCTCTATGCATGCAAGAATGTAAGTAGCAGTCGGGACAAATTTCTATTTCTTCCATTTCATATTTGCATAATTTTACCAGATTTTTTGCACTGTTGGTCAACTGATGATTATCTGAAATAATTCAGCTGTTTATAAAATTTAACTAGATTTAGTTTTGCACTAAAATTAACTAACGTAATTTGAATAAGGAAAGCTCGAAAAATATTTTTACTTATAATTATTCTAAATTTACATTCAATTTAATATAATTAAGAATTCAAACTTAGAATTCATCCTGGCTAATCTTTCTACGCATTTTGGCTGGTGCTCCCATGTAAATCATATAATATCATAACGTCAATGTAAATTGGAAACAAACTTGTCCTGTTTGTATTTGCCGTTTTAAATTTATAGTCTCCCAACAGTTTGCTAAAGTTGCTGATTGTTTGCTTTTGAACTGTATTGCAGTAGGAAGTGCTCATTACAATTTTCACTTCAAAAAACTTCTTTATTACTCATTCCTATCTGTCATCAGTCATTAAGCCTCCCTCCCCATACCATCCACCATCACTACAACCACTGTCACAAACAAAATTGGGTAAATAATAATCTTGTTTTTAGTAATCTTTCTTAAATGTATATATATAGGGTTCCTACTCAAATTTTTATTTTAATTTTCATGACTTTCCCTGACCAACTTTGTACAAATTACCTGACTCTCATGTCCCTTACAGTATGGCACATTAACAAAATAAAAAAGTATTTGACTTACTATGCACGTATGTTTTGCTTCTCCAACATTTTAATTAGTTAATTTTTTCTAATTAAAATTAAAAATAAAATTATTATTAAAATTCTGTTATTAACGCACAACCATAGATCTACATGGCTTTGAAAAAAGAAAAAAAATCAATTATTTTTTATTCATCATTAACAATTTCTATATAATCCATGTACAAAAGTATATATTTATTAAATTTATCTCTTAATAAATTTCCTGAACTTTATAAAATATTAATAAACTGGGAAAAAAAATCGAAAAGCGTTTTGTTATGCATCAAAATTATTCAAATGAAAATTGATAAACAATACCATTTAAACCATTTATAATTTTGTGTGCTTTGTAAATTTTTGGAAAAATTTTGTGTAAGCTTGGGAGGAATTTTGGGTCCTGAAAATATTCTGCACCCCTTTTCATAACTTGTATTGCACCACATTACTCCTTGCCGCCTGCAGATGGCTACACTTAGTCAAGTATACTGTAGCAAAAAATCAACAAGACAGAAAAGGATGCAAATTCCCTGACTATTTGACAATTTTTAACAAATTCTCTGACATTCCATGACTTTTAATGAACACTAATGAAAATCCCTGATTTTCCTGGTGTGTAAAAACCCTGTATATAGCTCACACTTATTTAAATGTTTAATATTAAAATTGTTTTGAGACATTATTTAGAAGTTTGATGACGTTTACATGACCAGGAATATGTTATAACTGAACATTAGTTTATATCAATTAGCCTGTGGTAAAATTGGTTTGTTATATATCTTTTCACTTACAGTTTCAGTGAAAAATTGCTGCGTATAAACTTGAAACATAATGAGAAAATATTTAGCTTTTCTTGATATATACTGATAATCTAATAATTATTTGCTGAGTATGTTCTGTTAAATATTTTGTATATTTGGTTATTTTTACATGGTTTCTTTGAAGGTTTTATTGATTTATAGCATATATTCAATAATAATAAGCATAAAAAAAACATTAACTTAAATGCAGAAACATGAATATATCACCTTACATTCTTTTTTAACTAAATTGCTAAAGGAATAAATAATTTTTTTTTACCATGCTTACTTACATTACACTATTTAGAATAATCCATTTTATTGAGTAATTTGAGAAAGTCAAATTCAAGAGAAAAAAATTGTACAAAAAAAATTAGAAATTATTTTTAAAAATTTGTCTGAAACATTATTCTTAATATACAATCTGTCATTAAAATTACAGACAACATTGAGAAGATTCTTTTTGTTATAGTCTGTCCATAGTAAAACAAAAGTAAGTTTTACATTATACAAGAACTCAAAAAAGTCATTAAAAGGTTTAGTATTTATTACTGATTACAGTTTTCGAATACAGTAGAACCTCAAAAACTCGGCCTATTGTGGACCGAAGGGTAGCCGAGTCTGTGAAAATGCCAGGTTATCGGGAATGGGGTTAAAAAAGGATAAGTATGCGTGTTTCCTCAGAAAATACTGTACTGTACTTGTATGTATTGTTTACTTGAGAATATAACAGAGAATAAACTGCCCAAATACCCTTAAACAAAGAAAAAGTACGTCCTTTATGAAGGCATAGAGCCTTTACTACATGAAAATGAAAATTAATGAATACACTGTGTACAGTAATTTACCTGATAAGACAGACCTCAGAAAAATACTTTATGAGAGCTTTTATACTTTTATAAAGCTGTCTATAATGAAAATTAATTAACTAAGGATTTTTTTGCCCTGCCAGGGTGTGGCCGAGTTATCCGGAGTGCCGGGTTATCGAGAGCCGAGTTTTCGAGGTTCTACTGTATTAGCACATTATTTATATCACTACAACTTCAGAATTCTTCTATTAAATGCTCATTGTAATTAATTATTTTGGTAAAAATTGTCATACTTATGCAACTTACTTTTGTCTATTAATTTCAAAATAAAGCAAGCATGTAAGAAAATATGACTGATTACTTACGTCCATTAAATATAGTACTGTTGTGTAAAATCCATTTTACATCTGCCAGAAATGACTGAGTACATCCGTACATCTTTGCTTGAATATTCTTAAAAAAAAAAAAAAAATTGAAAACTATATTGAGCATGGCTGTAACATTCTACTGCAAAATAATATTGTTTCAAATGAAACAATTTAAAGATGATTTAGATATTTACTTTCTCGAGTGTACTAAAATCCATAGGATGGAAAACATAATGGGAGTATGTTGGAAATTGTTCAGTGTTTACAGGTCTTAAGAAAGCTTCAGGCTAAAATTAATATCAATTTTATCTTACTAATTCTGTTTACGAAGTAAATAAATCTTAATACATTTTAAAATATTTACTTACAGCATGATTTTTCATTTTATGAAGAGCAAATTTTAATAATCGGCATAATTCATTGATGTCTAACATTGCCATAGAAGGAGAACGAGCATCAACATCTTCAGCTTTCATTATGGCTTGGCATTCGGGACATACCCAATCTCCAGGAGGTTCCTCCTCTTCTCCCAAGCAACGGAGATGAAATACTCTGGGACATCCTTCACAGCATAATACATTTCCTTCTTTGTGACATATCCAACAATATGAATCGTTATTTATATCCTAAAAAATATATATATAAAAATGATTCTCAAATTTGACATCTTATAATAAAAAATGTCAATAAAAAATAAAAACAGTGCTGCTAATTTGTATTGTATGGGCTCTGGAGTAGTTAGTAACTGGCTTCACTATCTAGTAAAGTAGCTTTAATATGGCTGGATAAGCAAAATAATGACAATCTATTTCAAATGAAACAGGTATGTCATTGGCTTGTTTATCCAACTGTACTAAAGTTGTCTTACTAGGCAACGAATCCACTAACTACTACTGAGTATTCGAGAACATGTTGGTTAATGTTATTTATAATTACAGAAATTAAAGTTAATAATTAAAGTATTAAAATTACTCAAGAAGTCATCATAGAATAACTTTGTCTTTATGTTACTATACTTCAATTAACGTTGGCGATAGCAAGACACCAATTCTTGGTTCTTGAATGGGATTGTTTGCTGTCGTATGAGCTCGAAGAATTTTTGTTAAACATGTATCGGAGAACTTTTATATTCAAATACCTCTATCAAGTTCTCGGAAACAATGAGAAGTTTTTAAAATAGAACAGTTATCACTTACATTCAAATACTACTATCTTTAGCTGGAATCTCTTTTGATTAATTTGGTTTAATCCAAAAGACCTAGCAATAGAATTTTTTGTATATATGTAATAAAAGTGATTTTATAATAAAAATAAATGTAACAGTGACATTTATCTGTTTATATTAATATTTACATTTTACTGATTTTTATATTTATAGTTTAATAATAGGTAAAAAATATATACTACAAACCTATTCAAAACAGAAAAGAAAATACAGTGCTAATGTGATTCCAGTTCACTCATATTTTACTGTAATATGAATTTATTTGATATCTAATTGCATGCTTCTGATATCTAAAGTCTACATATAAATCTTTGTTAAACATTTGCTTTATCCTAGAACAGATATAACATTAAAGCAAATGTTTTTATTTTTTACTACAGTTACTAAGTATTATTATTAGTAAAATATAAGCAATATAATTACCTGAGTTGTATTTTCACTTAAAATTAGTCTTGATGAGACAGGATTAGTATTTTCTTCTTCTGGAAAGTTAAAATAAGCATAAATTTAGAGTTTATTTGTTAAAAGAAAATATATTTTTATGCAAAAAATTAATTTATGGAAATAATCTTTGTTTTATTTTTATAAATTACGATATTATTTTATAAAAATACAAATAAAATTAAAATTTCAAAGTTAATTAATGTCTGTCCCAATAGTTCATGGATTATTCTACACATATATACATAACAATTGTTTTAATTTTGGTGTAAACATTCCAAACAAAAATAAATCCAAATGAACTTTCAAGCAATTAAAACTGAAAATTTATCTATATTACATTATGACAAATGCAGGAAACAGTTGTTCTTACTATTATATTTCAATACTAGAAGTTTAATTTGTATGTCATATGCTGTTTACTTAATTACATTACACTGAATACTTCATATGTAAAATAATAATAGAATATCAAACTACTTACTTTTGCATAATAGAGAAAAATGCTCATTTTCTCTAAAAATGTAACAAAAAATCAGAATTAATAAGAGTTAATTTATATATACAGAGTCTTCCAAAAATAAATTTATCATTTTAAATCATAATTAATATCTGAGAAGATTGTAATATACATTAAAGTATTGGAAAACCTGTCAGTTTTCCAATACTTTAATGTATATTACAATCTTTACATTTGCCCAATACAATTTCTTAATGCCTGTCTGTATCTTGTGCTACATGGCACACATATGACTAATACTGAAATTCTTTCTATGCTTGCTACAGCATATCTGCTGTCACTCCTCCCAAAGCAATCACAATTCTATAACTCCTGCAGATAACTCATCTTGCACAGTGATGAGTGATTCCAATTTTGTAAACTGCAGGACACAAATGCCTTCTCTATTGTGAAATCTTCATTGTTTTTTTGTTTATGGTGCTTCCTAGAGGCAGTAGATGACAACATGTTCGAATACAGATAGTAGATGAAACTCGATCAGTCACTCTATTGATTGGCGTACACTGCATATTCTCAGACAATAATTAACATAATTACAATAACTTAAAATGATAGCATTCTTATTGGAAGACCCCGTATATTAAATACAGTATAATATTCAAAATTAAAATCCAAAGGAAATGTATTTGCTGTAATGTTTAAATAACAAATTTAAAGCATTACTGACAATACATAATTTAAAATGTACAATTCATAGTCACTTAAATAATACTCATTGGTAAATTATTGAAAAGATAATATTAAAAAACATCTTAAAAAATAAAGTTTGATTATAAAAATTAATAATAATTAACTTCATATGTATCTATGCAAGTTAATAAATTGAACGAAAGAATAATGGTTGATATTGGATATTATAAATATATGTTTTAATTACTATGTATAAACTAATATGAGAATAATGGACACATATACATTTTACTAAAGAACCAAACCAAATTATTTGAAATTAAATGAATATCCATTTTCCGTCATTCACAACACCAGAGACAGGAGCTCTCGCAGAGGCATAGCTTCAAATAAAAGGTTGTCTCTGTACGTGTAAATCATTTTGGACTGTTGCTGGTGTTGTAAACAATGGAAAATGAAGATATTTTGTAGCTTCAACGTATTTATATAATTATATTTTAATGTAAATAATATTAGCCAAATTTTAAATTTTACTCGATAAGAAAATTAATTGCAAAACAAACAATGGTTCCAGCAACATTTAATAGACTATAAGGAAATCAAATAAATATGTATTTAATTTATTAGATCATTAATAATTCTTTTAACAATTTAGAATCTAATGAACCATTTTATTAAAATATTTTTCATACAAATAAACGTCAATAAAATGATTTTAATTGAAGGTAAAATAATTTAATAATTTTGTGTACTTTGTATTTATTTTGTGTAATGTGTGTACTTTTTTTTAGAAAAAATTGAAGGTCTTCAGCCTTTCACTTACATTGTTAGATATATAATGGCCTGTCTAAGGGCTTGTCACATATGGGTTCTTTGATGTAATACTGGCTTTGTCAGTGTCGTTAAAAATTATACATGTGCAACTAGTCCTAAAAACAACAGTGTAGCGGTGTTTAATTACGCTAATAAATCAGGATTCTAAAAAGTTAAAAATCACTGAAGTAAATTCATTAAATGTAATTATGTTACAGTATAAGGTAATTTACACAGTATCCTTCATTGTATAATTATTATGTTTAGTTAAATAGATATATTTAAGCAGTCTTGTTATACTAGCAACTGCTGATAAATTTGCAATTATGCTGATAAATAGATAAGACTGATAATGCTTGCACATTATCAGTCTTATCCAGCAATTTAAATTTTAATTGTTTTAACCATTATTTGCAATAGTTCAACTTATTACATTTCTTACTTCAATTAAACTTGAGTAGTGAAAATAAAAACAGGCAAACAGTACCGAATGAATTATTATTAATTTACAATAAAAATTATAATTAATAAATCTTTTAAGTTATAGAAATTTTAAAGGTTTAACATGTCCATTTTAATTAATATCAGAGTCAATAAAATCAGAATTTACACTGATTGCAATTTCATTTACTTATACTTGTTTAATGTTATCATTCAGTTATGTACAGTATCTACAACAACCGAGTGGATAAAACTAATGACCACTGGTAGCTGGTTACAAATCTGATCTGGTCAACAGCTGGCCACGTGAAGTTAAGCAGCTTTTCGTCATGTATCTGACACTTAAATAAGGGCCAGTTTCCTCACAGAAGATCCTCCCGAGAGGAACCTCTTCTGGCAAATTGCCTGTGTATTACATTGCCTTATTTCATTAATCAATCCATTCAGTGTAGACAAATCTCAACATGATTATAATAAGTAGATTCTAATGTGTACCTTTTTACATTTTTCTCAGAAATTTATATTATATTGGGTATACATTTTATTAGGTCAAATATTTATTAAATCAAAGAAAATTTTTTAAAAGTTTCTAACATTACTTAATTATTTGTTACTTTGAAATGAAATATTTATTTCATATAAAAGTAAAATAAATTTAAATACCTGGTATAGGATTGAAGAATTTCTCTCACATCATCAGGTGAATTAATTTTAATCATTTTTTAAAAATAGTTAAATGATTATTCCCATTAACGATTATACGCTATACCTATAAGAAAATTTTAAAAAGATTCTTATTTTTCATTATTTTATTGTATATTTAATTTATACAGAAGAATTAAAAAAATAATCAATCTTGGAAAGAAAAATAAATAACTTATTATATTAAACAGTTATATTGTGTTAATATAATTAAAAATACTGTAGAAAATAGATGTGATAGTATAACCCAGGGATCGGCAGTTTGTCAAGTGAGAAGAGCCAAATTGTCATGAAAACAGGATAACAAAAGTACCAGAGAGCCGCACATTAATTTAAATGTGCGAAATACGACACACAACAGAGGTGCCTCTAATGGCCGTTTTCAGCATAACGTTACACGGATGGACAGACACGCGTTCAATGGGATATATATATATATAGATATGCTTCAAATGCTACCACTCTTATGCGACTCATATTGATCAACGCGAGTGTGGTCATGTGCGGACGGAGAACAAGTCGAAGTTTGTTCGGCGGCTCTATCTCATAAACTCATAAGTTATAAGGCTGCGGTGAAATGAGGTGAGATGAAATTGGCGTTTATGTCCGAAGAGCCGCTAACGTCTATGCAAAGAGCCGCATGCGGCTCGCGAGCTGCTAATTCCGACCCCTGGTATAACCAATTCATTATTATAAAGCCAAACCAACTGTGATATAAGATCAGGCTATTGATCTTATATGGCAGTTGGTGTGACTTCATACTAATGAATCTGATTTTAAGAGATGTTTATATGTATATATATATATATACACACAACATGCCAGGTATGGGATGGCTGGCTGAATGCCTTAAGTGGGAGTTTACAAGACAAGGGAACTTGATGCATCCCCAGTTGACACTGTAAGTAACCAACAATGGTTATATCATAGTTAAATACCTGGAAGAGGAGATTGGACTGGAGGTCTGGCTAGTATGTTGAGCCCCGTCCCTTTCCATTTGGCTCGAATTTAAATACCCGAGAACAAGTTACTTGAAAGTGAATATAAACCAAGACAAGACAGGCTTTTAGATAAGTTTGGTAACCCAAAATATTCACTAAATCATATATTTTAAATTTAAACTTCATTATTTTTTTATATAAAATGAAACTTATATAACCAAAATTCCAAAAGAACTAAACCAGGAACATTCATTGATATATTTCTGATACTCTACCCAACTGAGATGACACACTTATTCAATAGTGTATCATCTTGGTTGGAAATTCCAATTGCATTTTGAATTGCAATTGGAAGAATCAAACATCTTCCAAATTTGGACTAAACCCCTGATAAGACTGAAAAATAAAAGAAAGGAGAGAGATTCTCAGAGATAGATACAAAGAAGACAGTATAGGAGAGACAAGTAGTGAGATCATAACATTTTGGCAGATACAAGTGATCATTCTGAGAGTGTGAACATCAACAATGCTAAAGAAGTTCAGTTGGAACCAATCATCAATTATTGACATCAACATCCAGCAAATCCAGAGAATCTCCACAGTCATTGACAATCATTCCATCAATATACATTGTTGTATACAAGTATAATTAATTGTAAACTCTCTCATGTGTATGGTAAAATGATTGTACTCTTCATATAAAAGAAATAAAATAAAAATGTTACCACTCTCTGTTGGGATCCACGTAATATTCTTTTCAAAAGGGACATAATTTTTGTTTTGAAATTATTTTATGCGTGAAGTGGTCAATGATAATAATTAATAATTTGCAAAATTTTACGCATTGTGTTAGAGATTTATATACATCCTGATATAGGGTGAAGAAAACATTGAATTTTATCCTAGAGAATAAGCTTGATATATTTGTTTTAAGATGGGTACAATCAGTTGAAACAACCAATCCTAAATTATTCTGACAGCCTACTAAATCTCATTACTTGTATAAGTCACAATGATTCTACATCAACATCACATGACATTTCTATTGATAATTGCAATATACATATGGTATTAGGTGCCATCTCTTGCTAAATTCAATAATTATAATTAAATTAATATTTCTAAATAATTTAGAATATTCTGGAAGAAAAGAATAAGCCTGGAGCGAGACTCGAACCTGCAACTCCCACTTTCTGCATGGATATGTTGCCAGTTACGGTAAGCAGAAGTTGCAGATTCAAGTCCCACTTTGGACTGATTCTTTTCTTCCAAAATATTCTAAATTATTTATAAATATTAATTTAATTATAATTATGANAATTATAATTAAATTAATATTGTATTAATTAAATAAGAAGGTTCAGGAAGAAAAGAATTGGCCCAAAGCAAATCAGTAGCTTCCGCATACCGCGCAGTCTCATTGTAGTTACACTATCCAGATGTTTTTCCAATCCTCATTTTCAAAACTTATTAATTTAGATATAATAATACTTTGTTACTATAATAACACTAAAAATCTATAATATGCTTCTTGTCTAGTCTCGTATTCAATTTTATGAGCTCTATAATGCTTTTTCTTTTCCCCTAGACTTATTACACCATCACCAGATGGTGTAATAAGTCTAGCGGAAAAGAAAAGCCATCATAAAGCTCGTAAAATTTAACTAAAAATCTAATCTATAATTTCAAATGAAAGCAAGCAATCTATAAACAACAAATGGTAAAATTGCATCTCCAAGTGAATTGATTAGGAACTTATGATAAGTGTAGACCATGCCCACGAAAGTAAAAAATGTCAAAGAAACTAACGGTCCACTCGTAACCCTTTACGAGAAACAGCAACGGGTTCGGGCGACTCGTTAAATGCGATAAGATTAACGGAGCACTCCAATTGTGCCCCGAAGTAGTCAGAAGAAATAGTTCCAATAAATTCACCCCATTTTTGAGTCTTCAAAATTTGATAGGCTGAATTTAGGGGACTGTATCTTGCAATTCCTTTGACTTTTTATACTTACAGGCGCGATCTACAGCTGCGATGAGATCCCAACAGCCTCATTCAGAGCTGCAACTTTACCCAACAAATAAATCTATTTATAATTACAATGTAATGCACATATTATGTGAATTTGTTCATAATTTTATTTCAAATAGCAATGTGATTGCCTCAAAATGTAATACTTTAATATATAAAAATACAGTAATTAAACATGTAAATTGGCTTGGGAAATTAAAAGTTTAATGGTGAGATCGAGTAATACTTACCAATTTAATATATTTACACGAATTATTCAGAGCAACACGTGATGTTCCTTCAACATTTATAGTAAACATTGTCACTTTATACACATATTCAAGCTATAAAATATCATTTCGACAAATATAAGTTATAATTTCTTAAATTATTTACACGTTTAAACGAATTTTGGGCATATTATAAACAAAAATACAATTTACTTATTGTAGTGAAACGGCTTCCACGACATACATTTTATGCCATATGTAAACATCATAGAGAGATTCGCCATCTGGTGAGAAAAATTTACAAAAATTTGTTATAAATTAATATTTTAAACATTGCGGTGAAATTAATTCATACGAGAATTTATAAATTACTATATAAATTCCTGGAATTTTTTCGACCCGTCCGAATTCGATCCCGGGTCCCCAAAAATGGTAGGCTACTACCTCGACCGCTCAGCCATCCGGCCGCTAGGCCTCTGGTGGTTTTTAAAAAGTGAACAGGTCCCGCTTTTAGATACAATTTGAAGGACATTTCCTTAATTTTGGCCCACCAGTAGCCAAGCGGTTCCATTCTCCGAATACTGGTGGGTTCGCGCCTCGCAAGGACGAGCTAACTACGTGTAGTTTTACGGGTTTTCTCCACACTTTTAACGCATAAATAGGAGCCAGTTACTCTTAAAAAGACCTCCCGGAAGGCATTCTCCATTTTGACTTGGCCCTAATAAATGCCCTCCTAATAAAACATATCCCCAATGTCATCCTTTCCAAAACAATTTGTATTTCATCCATAATTTTTCATCTGGTAAGTCTATGTCTGGTCCATCCACAATGGTAATTAATGATCATATACAGCGTAAATAAACCAGCAACGAGTTGCTCAACTTTCCCGGCAACATTCGAAAAATTTCAGAAATTTTCGACACAAAACACAGGAGTTATTAAGCTTCAAACAAGGCGAACAAAATCGTGCATCCCCTCCCACACACACACACACAAACTTCCGTACATACAGAAATTATCCCCGATTATTTTTGAATTTCTCGACGTTTTAAGGTGTTCTAAGTCCAAAAAATGTAAAAATTTGGGGGTCATTTTTTTCCGGATCGCCATATAATCTGTATAATAGCCACGAAAGTTAAAGTACAGGCTGAACGGCTTCGTTATAACCCTCATCTATAAAATACGAGGCCTTTCTAATAAACATAAATTTAAAGGCACTTAATGCCTTAAACTATACAAGGTTATAGATTAATCTGTAGGCCATATCAGTAGATAAATACTATCACTATATATATACATAAAACATTACAGACCTTCGAATAATTTATAGCTTCTTTTAATAAATAAAAACATATTTTTACCTGTTTTAACTTGTTTTTTCTTGTTTAAACACGATTAAACAATTGTTACTTAACTTGCTGACTTTTGACCTTTTAGTATAATTCTAGTTTCGGTTTCGTTATTAAAATTGAAAAAAATACAGGGAAAAAAAGTGTTTATAAATTGTATTGTGAAAAATTAATAAAATACACTGTGAAAAAAATAATATTTTACAGCTGTTTGTGTTTTTTAATTTGCACCCCGGTAAAAATCCTGCGCAGGAATCATGCGACAGAAGGGAAATCCCCTTCGGTGTAGTATAAAGACTGGAATATCTACTTAGGTTGTATCAGTTGTATACTTCACTACGACGCGTGCTGATAAATTCTTTGTAAAGGTGATTATTATTTACTAAATTGTAAGTATTTTTAACGCAAAAATATCTTAAATATTTTAAATCGGTGCATGAATATTTTATACAGTAATTGGCATATTTTAAAGGTGTAAAAATTCCTTAATTTTATGTGCTTTAACACAGAAAGTGTGTTGTGAAAATTTTTAAAAATTATTTAATGTATACGGGGGGAATCCCCCTGTTACAATAGATGTTTTTATTGCAACATAAGGCACGTTTACTATATTTTAAGATAATTTTTAATAAACAAATGCATGTGGTTTATGTTGCAATAGAAGAAAATGTGTAAGTAATTGAGGTTTGTCATCATCTATTGCAATTACCCCCGTCGTTGCGGTGGGAGTTATCACAGGGCTCGGTCATCGCTTCGTGTGAATATGAGTGTTTTAGGGTATATAAACCGAAATATTGGATCCTGTTGTTAGATAAATGCGTTATAGTTACAGTAAGGACAGATATTGCCTAAATTAAATTGCTGTTACTTCCCTTTCGATATTGATCATTAATTATATTTTTTATTTTAATATACAGGTAAGACGAGAATTGTTATAAATATTTTATTATTAATTACAAGTTAAATGTATTAATTATGTAATTTAAACTTATGTTAGTACTTGCTTTGTGTTTTTAAAAACTTTGGTTCAGTCCTTACTTTTCGTACGAATTAATTAGTTTGTGAATTAATTATTTATTAGAAAAGAAAGAAAAGACATTTACTTTGTAGGGACATTTAGTCATAGGTTTTAAGGCGATTGTGGAGTTACGTCGTTTGGAAAACTGAGTTAATATTGTGTGACAGACTCTTGTATTCGTGTTCTTCGAGACTTTAGTATACAGGTGCCCATTGCACACAGGAATTGGGTTTGATTCTTGTAACTCCATACAAAAACTCTCAAAAATACAGTATATTTTTGAAAACTTGGCCGCTCTGTTGTTTCTTCCTGTTTACCATCGCAAAATCCTGCAAATTTTCCCGTAACCATCATGTCCAGTTTTTCATTTATGGGTTCTGCAGCTGTCCTTACATTATGTTCTCAACATCTTTCTACATATCCTGAAACTTTTCACTGGCTATCTGCTTTGCCATTTTGTATATTATTACATGCGATGGTTATTATATAGAAATATGCATATACTTTTCAATGGCGAGAATATAGAGTTCTTGATCCCTCAGACCTTATAAACTTCATGGATATTCTCTTTTTGAATAAGATGAAAAAGAACAGAAAAAGTTTGTGAAATTCTATCGATTATCCTTGTTATATTATTCAAAGTTCTTTAAAGACAATTTATATCTATAGGGGAGACCGGGGCAAGATCGGCATGTTAACAATGTATACTTAAATTTTGTGTAATAAATACTGCTGTAAACTGAAAAAAAAGCTTTGCATATTGTCTATTGGAATGTTACCTTACTATAGAACTGGTTAAAATCAGTTTGGAAATAAAAATAATTAAAATAATTACAACTTTACAAGAAGAGAGAAATTGACGAAGTTGCCCCGGGTATAAGATCGGCAACTTCTCTCTTTTTGTAAAGTTGTAATTATTTTAATTATTTTTATTAAAGTTGCCCCTGGTATAGGGGCAACAGTAATGGGGCAAGATAGGCACGTATATAAAATTATGTTATTAACAATGTATAAGTTGGAATTCACTATTAAAACAAAGAAATACAAATCCAACGCCCATTTAATATTATTACAACGAAATGCAAGTTCAAAGACATATATACATGAATAACAAATGCAAACATGTTTTCATTTATCATCTGTTTGATTTTTATCCTTTGCTTCTAATGTGGCTTTATGTTGCCGATCTTACCCCGCTAGTCATGATTTCGAAACATTAAGTACAACCCTGAGAACAGAATGCCAAGCCACGATCTGGCCACGTGAATAAGTTGAAGTTACATCCTTCTAACAGGAAAAGTAACTTTCGTTATCATGGAATTATAACAAAACCTGCCAATTCAATATAAATGGAAAAAAAAATATTATATGGAATTGAACGAAAATGAAAATTTGCTTGATAATTCAACTACGCTTGTTGGAGAACAATAAAAACACTACACACAAGCCACCAATAAAACTCAACTGCCTAACCTATAACCAAAGTCTCCTTTTAATTTGTTTTTAAAAAAAAGCGCTTGACAAACTTGCCCCGCATGCCGAAGTTGCCCCGGTCTCCCCTAAATTCTAAAAGCGAAAAATGCATTACAGATAGGAAACAAATCTAGCTTTTGATAAACACATTTTCTTCTTCATTAGGTTGTTTTTTCGCTCTGTGGGTAATAAAAGGGCCTTTCTTTGATCCCATGACGGTTCGCTCAGGCCTACAATAAGGTTGGCTGGGTGGTGAGAAACAGGACCCGACATATCTACGGAGTGCCAGCCATTTTTAATCTACTTGAGTGTAGGAGTAAAGTCATTGTGATTTTGATTTAATGTGGTTTAAAGTCAAGATGTGTCACTGGTACGTAATAATTTTACGATTCGGCCGGGTTGTTGATACTTTTTCCAAGTGTTCTGATTCCTTTCATCATATAAGACAAACAAATTCGAGGTTCTTTAATGTCATCAATGAGGTGTTGTGACGTTTCTTACTTTATAATTTAATCGATCTTCACATTTTCTCTATTAATAACAATTTGTTTGGATTTATTCTCGAAACTTATTCAAAACATCGTTAAAGTTTGCTCATTTGTACAGTTATTTGATCGTGTTCATCTATCGTATCAGAGGTCAACGGCAAGGTCAGGTGGTGGAAAAGAAAGTGCTTCTTAATTAACTGCGTATTAATTTTTTAATCCCTTAATTTAACTAATTGATCGTCTAAAGCCTATAACATACGAGGAGTGCAGAATCTCACGTCTGTTGCCTTTCTGTTTAGAATATATAAAGTTTGTGTTAAAATAAATATACGCATTATATATACAGTTTATCTTACATACATACACACAGCGAGGTCATGTTTTATGCGGAAGTAATATACGCAGATTCATATTTTTGCGAATCGTTACATTAATCCTTAAATAAACAAAGGTAAATGTAATTATTTACGCTTACACTGGCCAGTTTTATCATCATATTCATCGTGAAACAAAAGTAATGGTGTAAAAATTAGCAGCAAATGAAACTAAAACCTAAACCAGAACTGTTGACACTAACAAACTCTAAAGAGGAGGATGGTGTTTCTCAAGTGGTGTACTCGGAACTTATTATATGTTGTAATTTTATACTGTACATTAAGAAAGATCAGACTAAAATGTTATTCTTAGTACATTTTAACTGTTTCCTGTTAACTATGAATGGTTGCATAATAGTCCGGGCTTGTGTTGAGTAACCAATACGGGATGCGGGCTGCAACTGGATGAGCAACTTTTTTTCATTGGTGGGTGGTGTATGACGTTACTACGATATTCGGAAATCGATTTAACAGATGGATTATAGAGGGAAAGCTCCTATTTAAACTATGATACGATTTAAATTATAGCAATGCCAATCAGAGCTTTCTAATTTATAATAAATTATCATAATTTGTTTTTTTAAATATTATTTTATCTCTTAAATGATAATTTAATGTATTTTTACCAAATTACCAAAAATTCTATGCATTATTATTATTTTTTTATAAGGGAATTCCCAAATTCGAAATGGAAACTGAAAATTCTTCGAGTTATTCCGAAGAGCAAGAAAATAAGTAAGTTTTACTTCTAGATTTTATATTATTTTAGAATCGGAAATAAATCTAAATCCAGAAGTAACTTTTCATTAATTAATTTAATGATTACATTAAAATTATACATAGATGTAAAATAATGGCTTCTTCTAAGTGACAAGCAAGCAAACCAATAGAGTAATCTATTTCCTAAGAAAAGGACTATATTATGGGTTTGTTGCTTACTTAGGTGCTCGTTACTTTGGTATTAGTGATGAATGAATTATAATTGGCAAGATCATTCGAATGATTCATTCGATCCAAAAATTCCTGTGTACAATCGAAATTTCACAACACAAATTTTCACCCCTCAAGTATTTTAGTTTCCATAGGGAAATGCTAAACTAGACAAAGTCCTGTCATATACTCTGAAGATAATTAGTGGTATTCACTAGAAATTTTGCTTGTTTTAATTCCCCTCCGATCACCGATGACTGGGGAGAAAAATAAACAACAGGTGCAATCTTACGTCATGAAAAATTAAACCCTTTCTCCTCCCTTCGTCAGAAAATATCAGAATCTTCCTCTTCATAAATTGCTGACGTAATTCTTAATTGTTCCTTATACGATTTATTTAGTTGATGTTCAGGATTTGACCCCATAGTGTACAATTGATAACAGTTTCGACTTTGATGCACACTCATTTAAAATAAAAGCAGCTCGTTTAACATTTTAAACAGTTCGTATACCGTTTAAGAGAGGTTGAGAAAAGTACACCATTGTACACTTTGGGGAGAGAGTGGGTCCATGTATTGTCTACGTGGACGTTCTCATTGGTATTAGTGGCGTACAGATTTGTTCATATAAGCCTACTAACCAGTAACGTATAGTTAGTCAAATGATATAGCCGTATTCTTATCTATATACAGAATACTCTAAAGCAAAATCTGTTCCCATTTCGTTAAGGTACTTGTGATTGAATTACATTTATTTTTTATATAGGGGAGATCGGGGCAAGATCGGCATGTTAAGCTTTACTTAAATTTTGTGTAATAAATACTGCTGTAAACTGAAAAAAAAGCTTTGCATATTGTCTATTGGAATGTTACCTTACTATAGAACTGGATAAAATCAGTTTGGAAATAAAAATAATTAAAATAATTACAACTTTACAAGAAGAGAGAAATTGACGAAGTTGCCCCGGGTATAGGGGCAAGATCGGCAACATCTCTCTTTTTGTAAAGTTGTAATTATTGCAATTATTTTTATTAAAGTTGCCCCTGGTATAGGGGCAACAGTAATGGGGCAAGATAGGCACGTATATAAAATTATGTTATTAACAATGTATAAGTTGGAATTCACTATTAAAACAAAGAAATACAAATCCAACGCCCATTTAATATTATTACAACGAAATGCAAGTTCAAAGACATATATACATGAATAACAAATGCAAACATGTTTTCATTTATCATCTGTTTGATATTTATCCTTTGTTTCTAATGTGGCTTTATGTTGCCGATCTTACCCCGCTAGTCATGATTTCGAAACATTAAGTACAACCCTGAGAACAGAATGCCAAGCCACGATCTGGCCACGTGAATAAGTTGAAGTTACATCCTTCTAACAGGAAAAGTAACTTTCGTTATCATGGAATTATAACAAAACCTGCCAATTCAATATAAATGGAAAAAAAAATATTATATGGAATTGAACGAAAATGAAAATTTGCTTGATAATTCAACTACGCTTGTTGGAGAACAATAAAAACACTACACTCAACAAGCCACCAATAAAACTCAACTGCCTAACCTATAACCAAAGTCTTCTTTTAATTTGTTTTTTAAAAAAAGCGCTTGACAAACTTGCCCCGCATGCCGAAGTTGCCCCGATCTCCCCTAATTAGTAACAGACGGGGACAAACCGGAAAAATTTGTAAGTGTATTGTAATTTTGCCGAATTCACGATGAGCTCGATATAAAGGAATTCTTAGAGCCTACAGAGCGAAAAAAGGAAAGTATATAAGACTTTCCCGTTTTCTTAACGATCAAGTTAATACATAAATAGATTTTTATTTTAAGAAATGATTTATTAGAATATTTCTGAATAGTTTTATTAACTAGATATAGACAATCTTTCGAAACTCAATTGCAGAATATCAGAATTCATACAGAATCTTCACCATATTATTAATAAATATGATTTAATATATGTTTGTAATACTTTTATACAAATATAGGGAGGCGATGCAGGTGTTGAAGAGCGAACGATTTGAAAATTCCTTCAAAGATGCCGTAGAGGTGAAGAAAAGTTGGGATAACCTTTTCCCTTTTACAATTCTAGACGATCTATTGGAAAAGGATAGCAAACTGTACGAAAACGACGAAATCGTTCGTTGCAGAAGAAATTCGGCAAAGAATCTTTCAAACGCAAAACAATGGTCACAAATGGTAACCGGAGCATTTTGGGAAATCGTTAATGGCCAGGAAGATAAAGCCGTTAGAGAGTTTCGAAAATTAGGCTTATATAATTCTCTATACGATTTCGTTCATCATATCAAGTATTTCGAGACGGTAAAGAAGGTAATGGAAGAGAGAGGCGAAAGAGTATATATTTTTGGTCGTAGTCGTTGTTCCATTCACGATATAGATAAGTTACATCCGATCATGTTGGTCGGTTATGCCGAAAAATTCGACGACCACAAGGATACGTTATTATGGCAAGTCACTTTAGAGAAACACATAAAAATGAACCCGCATCATCAAGGAAATCGTCTTTGGAGCAACGAAAATAATTATTCGGATGATTTAAAGTACGTAGCGTTGGGAGAGATGATATGCGATAAAGTTTCTAGAAGATTACAGAAAGATTTAAAAGGAAAATTGGACGAAGACATGTGGAATGTCGATATTAAGTACTTCGACGGATTGCCACCGTACTGGTTAGCAAAAGCCTTGGAGATTTTAAATAAATTAAAACGATCGAAATGAAAAACACGCAATAGATGGATTGTATATCTTTAAATTTAAATCAATTTTGAAATATAAAAATGTATTCGAAATAAAAATAGAAATTTTATTATACTTAAAATCTACTTAGCTTTTGAACGTCTTTCCTTAAACAAGACTTTGAAAATTTCAATAATTGACTCTTTGTAAAGATGCCATTGTGAGTGTAATAAAGTAACAGTATATTAGTCTCATTGGTTTATTCACGTAAAAAGACTTATTATCGAAATAATAAATGCTTGAGCGAAAACAGAACATCCGCTTTGTTATCAGATAAATCGAAGGTTTAGTCTTTTATGTTTTCCAAGGCATTGAATTTAAACGATGATTGCGTATAAAAGAAAATGGCGTAGAAACGAAATATTTTAACACGCTTTTCGTAGTAACGTAAAATAGAAACGTATCGATTAAAACACAAATAATTTAAGATAAAAAAAGAAAATACAAATAAAATACAGGAGGTTCTCGGTACTTGGAAGTTTAAGGGACCAAATAATGACTTCAAATGATCGAGTTTTGAATTAATCGAGGTTTAAATATTTCTATACAATATGCCGAATGCCGAGTAACTGATGTAATTTATTAAGCAAACAGAATGTGGCTACGAATAGAAAACAATATTTTTCTTAATTAGTTAATTAATAGTATTATAATTAAACTGCACTTGTCTGGTGAGAAACACAAAGATTGCTAGCTAGGTTTAACAGTTAAGGTAAATCAGAATTCTTGAAAATGCAGCCCAATTATTTCTAAGTTAGCTTGGAATGTTATATGTCACTCCAAATATAGCATCCTCAAGCCCTACAAATTGCTCAATCTATTATCCGCAACCGGATCTTACAACACGGGAAACCAGCCGCATTTTATGAAATAAGAGAAAAAGGGTTAACATACTCTAATAACGGTTTAAAAACAATTTACAGTTCGAATTTCGAAATTGTTGTATTTCGGACTATCCGAATTCGAATAAACGAACATTTCCGGTATAGAGATATTACAATTGGTAACTGATTAGAAGACGATTAAGCAAACCCAACTACTGCTTCGAAAAACTTCAAAAATCAGTTGATAAATATTCTTCTGAATGTATTTTATATTAGCGCTGTTTCAGATCATATTTAATGTTTTAGTAACATTTGGAAAAATATATAATTTACGCTATCTTTCGCAAGCTGAAACTAATCAACGACGCAAGCTTCCTATACAACACAGAGATACCAGATCATTCGAATATCCAACAATGCGTTTCCCACAACCGATGTGTTAAAAAACGTCTCCTACAGATTGCGATAGAATTGTCCTACGCAAGAAATGAAGTGTATTCGCTTTCTGATACACATTTTCGACGTATCTCTGAAGCGCGATATTCGCTAATTCTTGCGAGTGATACGTATTGGGACGATTCTGTCCTTGGAGTATGGTTCTTTTTCGCATTGCGTTTAGGCGTGGACGAAAACCATACGGAGAGAAAAAGCAAATTAAGATAACTTTGGAATGAGGAAAATGAACACGTTGAAGAGCGACGAAGATGGGGAATCTAAGAAGGTGTGGCTTAAGGGACACAAAGTAAAAATGACCGTGTGTCTGCCAGGAATCGAACCTGAGACCTTCCACGTGTAAAGCGGACGTGATAACCGCTACACTACAGACACCTGCAAAGAAAGGCGGAACGGCATTTCTTCTTTCTGAACCGATCCTGGGTCGTATACAAAACTTTGATTTTCCAGCTTCAGATATGCTGACGTTATCGAACAGTTTGTTTGGAGATTTTCGTAAAGATTCAAGCAGGTGGGAAGAGCGGAAAGCTGTCTGTAATCGTCGCACGCCAGAAAACGAACGAGAGATGTTTTTCTATAAAAACGGCGACGCAATTCACGTTACCAGAGGATAAGATGAACAAACGAGTTTGCGAATTAAATTTGCGTGGAATCGCCATTGCCGAAGAGAAAACAAATGCATCGGACGTTAAGGACGTGTCGCGAGGTTAACGAGTTTCCATCGTGAGAATAACGAGAATTTTGTAAGAAAAGTGACGGATTCACTGCTGCAATTGAAGTTCGCACAACGATTTAAGTGCTCTTAGAGAAGTGCCGAGGTTGAGATTGTCGAGTGCTTGTGGTGTAGTGGTTATCACATCCGCTTCACACGCGGAAGGTCCCAGGTTCAAAACCTGGCAAGCATAGCTCTGAAGTTTTTTGTTGCTTTGCTCGATCGACATGCGGCACCTTATTATGCAACTGTGCTTTCGAATCACGTTTCTATCTATTACAGATCACGTGTTTCGATTAGGTGAGGTCTCGGAAATAGTCCATAATTAAAAGGAAAATGTATATTTATTAAATTTATTTATCGATAAAACAAGCGACATAAGTGCCGAGACGGCGACACCGGACTTTGACATCGTCGCTTGTAAATAATAGAGGAGAACAATAGTTAGAATCAAGAAAGGAATTACTTGAGACGCAATATGAGCGCGGGTGTTTTAGTAATTGATAAATCGCGATCAGAGTCGAGAGGACGATGTCGGATAAACCGTCCAGGGCAGATCTTCCTCGCTACCTAACTTGGTTAGAACTGTTCGTTAGTTCATTCGTTTGATTAGACTCCTCCTACGCGATCTGCCTGTTTGATCCTTCCGTTCGAATTAAGAGATCTCACTCCGTCACCAACGACAAGTCCGACTTACTGCTATTCTTCACACAGGTACAGACTCCGACCATTTAATCACCGCTGCCCGGGGCGTGCTCTACCAACTACCGAGATGTAAGCATGTATCGACAAAATAAACGTGATTTTTGTAAACACTTGTCTTTTTCTGCCTGAGCAAATCGCCATCCACATACGCGAGGGAATCGCACCACATCGCCATCCACATCCCGACGAAAGGGAATAAACCCCTCCCCCTAATCGGCGTGCTTACAATTAGAACGAAGAAGAAATTGTTTTCAACGAGGAAGCGAAGTATTAAAATGTTAGTTATAAGATTACGCAGCGAGAATCAGATTAGAGAAAAAATGTAGCCTGGCTGCATGACTATATTTAACAATTATTCCTCGAATTACTTCAAACCCCTTCCGCACGATCCCGAATTTCTATCGGACCATCAGTACAGTGGCATTGGAATTGGAAAATCCAAAATACCAGGTTATCGGTCCGCACAAAATATGATTTAAGTGGTTTTCGAGGATGCCAAGTTAGTCCGTTTTTCGCGAAATTTGATTCGTTGTCATTTGACCATTTGATATTCGCCCGTGAATAGAACAGTTTCTTAGAGGTAAGAAATAATTATGGTATCTGAGAAAACCCAGGATACCACATTTTCAATTGGTGTCTACTTGACCAATGAAATTGTACCATTTCGTGCCGTTCGAGTATGGTGATAAACGTGACAATGGTAGGCCAAAATAACAAAACTCTTTATATGAATTTTGTTTTAATATTTATTACACCATAGTATTTGATTAATGTAACTACAAAGGTTAACTTAGATTGTCCACTTGGTATGATAAACCCTTACCTAACACTTTTTCAAATTTCTTTATTCCTCTACTGTACACAATTTAAAGAATTTTTAAAATGCATGGCAGTTGGTTTCAGTGGCGGCCTTAGGGGGTGGCGAGCAGGGCAATCGCCCAGGGCCTTGCTCTTGGAGGGGCCTCGCGCAACAACCAAGTAGAAAAAGGTTGATATTTAAAACTTTTTATTTTATCATTGGCTATTAGTTATAACAATAAAATAAATTTAATTCATAGTACAGTATATATTAATATTAATAAGTGCCTACTATTTCAATTCACATACTTTGCACAAAGGACAAAAGCCTCGCAAAGATCTGCCGCTCAGAGCCTCGCAATGGATAAGGCCGCCGCTGGTTGGTTTTTAAACCCTTGCGTAAGATAACATTCCTAGTTACATGAATCAAATACTATAATATAATTTAATAGAAATAATGTAATGTTCTTAATATTTGTTGTTATTTTTTACTGGAGCAACGCCAGGCTCATCTGCTAGTCCAATGGTTCCCAGTTAATGGTACACATACCCCTGCGGGTACGCGAAATTGCACGAAAGGGTACCCGAGGTAATCTAAAATCGGTCGATTTAAAATTTAAATGCATGAGATGAAGCAATCCAAAAAATAATGGGTGGACCATCAAAGATTCCGCAATTTACAACATGATTTGGAATGCAGAAATTCGTTTATTTATAACTAAAAATATTCTCGTAATTTCATCAAAAAATGCATTTGTGACAACACCTAAATGAAATTCTTAGGCAAGAAACAAAAATTGTACAATTAACACAAATTGTGTTAATTGTACAATTATCATTATTATAGTGTCAGCGAAGCGGCAATAAAATATTTACTACCATTTTGCTCAACATACCTCTGCGAGAGCGGATTTTCGGCCATGACAAACATGAAAACTAAACATCGTCACCCACTTCGACTCGAAGATGACTCGAGGCTGAAGGTGACCAAAAAGTAACCAGATTTTACAAAGTTGTGCAAGGAAAATCGGGCACATTTGTCGCATTAAAATTAAATAACTTTATGTTACTTTCATTATTATTAAAATTGTATTTTAAAGGTAATACAGTAGACTCCCCCTATAACGCTTAGATACGTTCCACGTTAATCGAATTTTACGTTGTAGGAATCATTAACTACATGAGCCAATCGCAGCCCGACACGTGTGAAGTTTACGGACTAAGGCTGTTTGAAAGGTTTTCTTCTATAAAATTAATCGATTCTAGACTAATTCCACTCAACATTTCCAAAACACGTATAATTTTTTTGGAATAATCCGTATAAACTA